GAATGACTTTTTTCTACTTTCTTTCTTCAAATTTCTTTAGTTCTGCATGGGAGTATTTACAGAAATACTGCCTTTCTTGGATTATTATTGTCAGATAATATTGTTAAGATTTTATTTGTGTTTATTATTGTATTATGTTTTATCTATGTTACAAAAGAATATGTTGTGGTGGGACATCTCACTTTCAGGCATCACTTATGTCCCCTGCAGTGATGTTTGTCTCCAGGGGAGGAGGGACTCACCTGTGGTTAGTAAAAGCTTCAACAACATCCAGTGTACTATTGGGCAGCAGTGCAGCCTGGCAATGTTTTGAGAACCAATATTCTTACCTTAAACTGAATTTGGTTTCAATGTTAAAAGAGCACTGTGATACAGAAATTGATTATCCTTCCCTTACGTGTTATGTCTGTGGGTTATGATGTTAGATACACACAGCTTTGTTAAATAAGTGGGGGTTTTAATTAATGGATAATCACACAAAATATTTTGGATTTTCTTCTTTTTCACAAGGATGAAATGTTACTTTTCATGTCTATGTATACTCAATTATTTTCTTTTTTTTTTTTCTAAAATGTTTATATGAAAATATTGTAAAAACTCCACTGTCTAAATTAGCATTTTATAAACTTGTTTCTTCAAACAGACTTCCTAAAATCAGTCCCTAATCTTACATTTTACCAATGCAGTCAAACTGCTGCTCTAATATGATATGTTAGAACAAGAAAAGTAACACAGAAATCAAAACATTGCTGGTTTGGGGTGTGTTTTTATTGAGTTTTTAATGGTTTCTGGATGCACCAAGTAATACAAAATTTTCCTGAAATCTGATATGTCCACTACAATTCTATTGTACTGGATGGATGTTTAAATCACCTCCATGCACTTAGGTGAGTGTAGGCCATGGAGAACAAGTTTACCCCTGACCTTTTTGTGGTTGGTATTTAAGAGGAAAATTCAAGCTTTCAGGATACTGTAGGAAATGTGGTTTTTGAATATTAATTGATAACAAACATTACAGATTCTAGACCAAAATAAGTTTGTAGCTGAAAAGATTGGAGTCTACATGTCTTTTAGCAGTTTTCCTTCTTAGTCTGCTATTCTATAAACATGAATGCATTTAATTACTTTTTGCATTTTTAATGTAAATATATTCTGTCTCCAGTCAGAAAGTTTGAAGGATTCTCAATGACACACCTTGTTTTTTTGTATTTTTTCATTTCTGAATTATATGCAGCTGTCACTGAATGAATCATAGAACATGATGACTGGTTGCTTCCTTCCTTCCTTATATTTTTGGTTTGCAGCATTTCAGATTCAGTTCAATGGAAATGTATTAAGTGGATGAAAAATAACTTTTTTACATTACTATGTGGCCATGTACCTCTGAAACATGATGCTGGATGGAAATGGAAATATTTCACATGCTTTCTGTTCGTGGCTCTGTCAAAAATGTCAGCCTTTCCTTCTGTGTTAAATCATGAGAGGGAGGATGCAACTGCAAGCAGGAAAAAGGAGAGGCACAAAGCCACTGCAGTGAGCTCTGGGGAGAAGTCAGGGCAGGTTGGATAATTTTGGGGGGGTTGGATTTTGACCCCCACTGAAGTCAGATCTGATGAAACTTAGGGCTCTACAATCTGGATTACAAAACAAACAAACAAACAGATCAACTAAATGCAAAATCTTGGCCTTAATATGCACATAATTTACAGAAATTATTACATTCTCTGAATGCAGATAAACTTCCTGCCCAAGTAGGAGATAATCACTTTTATTCAAGAAACTGAATTTCAGGGAACTTCAGGAATTTTCACTTTTTCTCTTGCTGCCTAACTCTCCCAGGAAGAAAAATTACAATGGCATTTCAAAGGACTCTAGGTAATAATTTCACCATTAACTTGATTTTCTTTCTTCCGTTTTCATAGAGGCTTCAGAAAGTCTGTTTTGCTAATTGTCTGAAGCTTCCAGGTTTACTCATCCTTTTGAATGCACAGCCAGCAAGCAAAACAGAACAGGAACAACAAAAAATTGAAGGGAGGAAATAAAACAAGCTGTAGCAAATCACACAGGAGTAACTTGCCCTACAAAATATTGATATTTCTTCTCTACCTGTGACCCATGAGCAGAGGAGATGCATTTTTTTAAGTATAATGGAAGTAGAGGTTACTTTGCCAAAAAAGAATACAGTGATGAGCAGGTCAAGCAGACACATTTCACCCAGTTATCCAAGCAATTTAACAACATTTGCAAAAATGCGGCATTTGTACACGGAGCACAACTGCTATGTTCTGCCAGGATAAATTAACACTGCTGTCTCTGAAACAAGTGTTTCTTGGGAAACTTGGTTTCTTGCTCCTTCTGTCCTTCAAGTAACCTTCAAAATACCATCTGTTGACACTTTTCATATTTGAAGGAAAACAAATTTTGTTGTAGATCTGTGCTTGGCTCTGGGTGAGCTCAGATCATGACTAAGGTATTCAAGGACACCAACTGTAGTGTAATCCTCCCTAGCCTTGGTTTCATACATCCTTTAGGAGCTCCAAATATTGCTCTAGAGCTTCTTTGGCTACAGAGACTTAGGCCTTTGTGAAACATTCAAGATTTTTTGGTAGCAGCTAATTTACTTGAACCCAGTGATCGCTGAGGCAGGAAAATATAAACTCATATATTAACTCTATGTTTATGTAATCCGTAGATGTACAATACATCCATCTCTTAGCTCAGTATTCGGCAGCAGTGTTATGAATACTTGCTAATTGAGTGATGGTGAATAGTGTTAAAGCAGCTGGTCCCAAGGCTCAGAATTTGGGTTGGCCCTGTTCAATGCCTTTATCGGTGACCTGGATGAGGGGATTGAGGGCACCCTCAGTTTGGCACCAAGCTTGGTGAGATTGTTGATCTGCTGGAGAACAGAAGGTCCCTGTAAACTGGGGAATCTGGACAGGCTGGATTGATGGATGCTGAGGATTGCCCCAACCCAAGTGTAGGATCTTGGCCTTGGCCTTGCTGAACCTCATGAGGTTCCCATGGACTCACTTCTCAAGCCTGTCCATGTCCCTCTGGATGGCATCCCTTCCCTCCAGCATGTTGACTGCACCACACAGCTTGGTGTTGTTGGCAAACTTGCTGAGGGCGCACTCGATCCCATGGTCCATGCCACCAGCAAAGACATTAAACATTGCCAGTACCAACATGGACCTTTGAGAAACTAGTCTCCATGTGGACATTGAGACAGCGATCCCAACTCTTTTAGTGTGGCCACCCAGGTCTGTCTGTCAAATCCAAGTCTCTCCAGTTTACAGACAAGGATGTTGTGCAGGACAGTGTCAAATTCTTTGTCCAGGTAGATGATGTCATTCCCTCTTCCTTCGTCCATCACCGCTATAACCCTGTCAGAAGGCCACCAAATTTGTTGGCAGTGCCAGGTTAACAGTCAGACTCAATGATCTTAATGTTCTTGTCCAACCTTAAAAAGTCTATAAACTGGTTATCGTTATGATTTTCTCTGGGTTCCTGCCTATACTGAAGCAACTGAGGAACTAAAATATGTATTTATCACACTGCAATTAAACCTCCAGAACTAGAAGTGGTTACAGAGATCATGATGGGTAAAAGACTCTCATTAGTCTTCTGTTCAATAAATCTCACAGAATTTTATGATGCTGGACCTGAAGGAGATGAGAAAATATTTACTTGGGATTTCATTGAGATTTCAGGAGCATTTGGTTAAAATTGGTGGCACGCTGACAGTAGCTTGTGAAACCTCTCAGTCTCTTTGCACGGTGTCTTCTAAATTTATTTTTGGTTTTCTGTACCACAGTAGTCAATACATTTTTATTTTAAATTCATAATCCTGTCTTTATTTTCCAAATCTTTATTTTACTTGAATGTGCTGTTACTAAAAATCCTGACTCTATTATGTTATAGTGCACAGTCTACCATTTGTCAAGTATCTCTTTTCCATTCTTGTGTAAGATTTGGAATTGAGAATTAGATTAACCTATGCATCCCATAAGGATTTTCAATGGGCTAGAGGATTTTTCCTTCAGCTCTTTAAGTTAAAACTTGTGAGTCAGCTTGAAGGCAGAAAATCTGTCACAATCTTAAAATGTCCACTTATAAAGATTCTGCATTGAATTGACTCTCAGTGTTGAATTTGTTTGATTGTAATAATTCTTATTTGGGTTTTGCATATGAGTATTTTTGCTCCTACCTGAGATTTCTTCTATTGTGGAATTTTATGCATTTTTCAAACTTTATTTTCTAAAGCACTTCACAATTGTATTTAAATATGCGGGGGGTTGCTTCTTTTGATTCATATGTTTATGCATTGCATACCGAAAACAATATTTTCATTCTGTTATCAGGTGAGATTTTTTTTTTCTTTTCAACAGTTTTACACAATTTATAGTCAAAATAAAAGTTTGCTGGTGAAACTACAGGGTTTTTATTAGTGTTTTATTTGTTTCACTATCTTAGGAGTAATTTGAGGACTCTGCCCCAAGTCAGTAAAAACTGACCTAATTCAAAAACTTTTGAAATCCCCTTTATGTGTTCTAAAGACGCTCACCTAGTGTGGAATCTTCTGGATTTGTCCCTCAATAATGAAATTCTTTGCACTTGCTGATTTTGGTGACTTCTAGTAGTATTAATGTAGGAAATCAGGTTTGGTCTGAGGAAGGTTTAACTACTATTTTTTTCAATAACTCCTTTTGGAGCATACATTGTACCAGTATATTTCCCCTTCACTGTTATCTTACATGTTATGTGCAAAATGCAGAGCTCCATGGATCTTGTTATTTCTCTGTGTTTTCACACGCCATCAAGTCAAGTGTTTGGAACATGATCAGACAGTAAAGGGCTAGGAGAAAAAATCAGTGCTTAACACAAGTGTGCCAAAGCTTGTATTGGAATATTTGGATGGCTAATAATGAAAAGAAAGGAAACATCATAGGGTGTTTTTTGTCTGTCTTGGAGAGAGAATAAACTTCAGAGAGGTAAAGTCAAACCACAAATAGTTTAATTTATACAGAAAGAGAGGAACAGAACATTCACATTGCACATTTTCCTCTAAAAACGGAGTATCTAAAAAAGGCAACTTGGACCATCTAATGGCTGCCTTCTGGCTGTTCTGGCTATCAATACTGAATGCAACCATACATTAAAAAAATTATTTAATAATTTGGGGTTTTTTAATCTTTTATAGGAAACACATATTTCTAGGACTTAAAATTCTGTTGACAGTGGCTACTAGCCTTTTATTTTAATGTCACTTATAACAAGGCAAGCTGCAACGGGCTTCATATGGAATGACAAATGCAACACAAGGTGGAGTCAAAAATAAAGAGGTTATGCCACATGGGTTATTCACAACAACCTTGTGATTGTACCTTTACAGATATTGGCAGCAAAAACAGTGCTGGGAGGGCTTCATAGGAACCTCCCACTTGGGTTTCTGTGGTGGAATTGAAGAGCTGAAGGAAGTTTAGTATATTCTGTGCAAGACACACATTCGATGAAATGACTGTGCATGAAGGGTATATGCTAGAATTTATTTTATAAGTATGAAAGAATAGCTACAGCTGCAGTAAATAAAACTATCTTTTTTTATTTGGTGGCTGAAGACATTATTTCACTGTACACATCATACACAGAAATTAAGTAAGGAAGGAGGAAAAATCACACAAACTCTTTATTAAACAAAATCAAAAATAAAAACAGACATGTACCTTTTATTCCCCTCCAATAGGAGAAGGTAGAAGGCAGCACCTGGGTATTTCTGTAAGCACCATTGTTCCAGCTTGTGTTGCTAAGTACCCCTTTTGGAAAAATGAACAACCACTGTGTTAAAAATACCTTACTGAAGCCTTGGTTGAAAGGTTTGTCCGTGTCTGCATTTCTCCTTGGCTGGTTATTTTGTCCTCAGCTGTCTGTGCAGGATGTAAATGGATGCCGACACAGGGTGGCACTCTCAGGGCCCTTTCATGTTCTTCCCTGCTCTCTGTCCCGCCTGCATCCTGCAGGACGCTGGCTCGCAGTAGCCGGGAGGGCCGGGAGGGCCGGGGGGCCCAGGAACCCCAGGCTGCCCGGCCACCCCAGGGGGACCTCGGTCACCGTCACGGCCTTCCCTGCCATAGCTGGCTTTGCCTGGTTCACCTGGAAAAGTGGATGCAGGTCTAAACACAGGGCAGCATACCACTTGCTTAGCATAATTAGCATCCTGTCCTTAAAAGCTGTATGGAGATGGTTTTTCACTGCTCTCAGGGCTTTCCCAAGAGGGATTCCGACTTATAGGGACAATTTTCCTCTGCCTGACACCCCAACTGCGACTACACAGCTACAGCAATGGCATTCCAGTCCCAGTGCTCTCAGTTGTACTAGTGCAGGTCTGCTCTGCAGGGTGCTCTGCTCAGCCAATGCCTAGGGCAAGGTAGATGCTATTTGTTACCACAGAATTTCATTAGCTCTCTGGAAAAGGAAATACCAATTTATTTATTTTTTTTTTTCCCCACTCAGATGGTTGGGGAAGTAGATGTAGAGATTGGAACTGCTGAGCACTAAAGTATTTTTTTACTTCTCAATCTTCAATGAAGAAAGGAAAAACAGTGATTTCAGGAGCCTCTTCCAGCAATAGATTTCTACAGAAAACACCTCCGAGTTACAGAGACATCCTTGGGAACAGTAAATACTAGACTTTTTCTTTTTCACAAGAGAACAAATATGAATACCTCGTCTTGCTATACAAGCACGGAAATACACTGATGGAAATAACATGTTTATGTTCATTCGCTGGCCACTAGAGGCCAGCTGTGCTTCATCCATCAGCAGGAATCTCTCCTGAAGCCATGTAATCTAACACTGCAATTCATTACCACAGAAATAATACAATATCCTAAATTATGACTGGAGATTTTGAAGGCTGCTGTGCCTGCCAGTGAGATAATCTGGAAGTTATTGCCTTTTTTTGTTAATTTTTTATATATAATTAATGTGTATATAATACATATAAAAGTTATATTAAAAGAGGCAGTTTTAATTCATGTGTGTGCAATTGCCTCCTTTTTTTAATGTTTTCTTTACATTTTTCCTAATCTTTCTACACTGAGATAAATGAGGAGGTAGCTTTTTGCTTTTTAGTTTTTAATTCTGATTTCTGACTGAATCACCACCTATGAAGTAAAAATTTTAAAGCACTGTAATTTTGGCATTTACTGATAATGAACTCCTATCTTTTCAAGGCAGCTTGAAGTATCAGTTCTGAGTAAATTTTTACTATATATCTTCTTTATCCTTACTCTCTTATATTTACCTGGGAGACCTCTTGGTCCAGGATAACCTTTCAGTCCTCTGCCTGGAAATCCTCTTTCTCCTCTTTCTCCTTGTTCACCTAAAGCAAATTCATGAAACATTGGTTACAGTTTGCTTGGAGTATCATTTGCAGTAAATTCCCTTTCAGAAGTGAACATTTAATAAGCAGAGAATTCAGCTGGCTGTATATATTCTCAGCATCTTTCAATGATGTCCTGACACATATCCATGTATAATGTTTGGAATTTGATTGGGTTTTTTCACCCATTTGGGTCACACTCAGAAGCAGACAGGTTGGTGGGGGAAAGAAACCACCAGTTTCTTACTGCTGGACAGTAAGTACCACATGAAACATATCACAGCCTATATAACAGGAATAAACCAAAGTCCCAGGATTTCAGGATATTTGGGATACAGACTGAGGTTTCTGCTCAGCTAAGAAGTAAAAATTCTCAAGTGTTGGTGCTTGAGACAGCCAGTGCAGAGGAGAAAAATGTGGCTGCACAGGTGACAGTATTCTGTTGATATTCACATAAGGTATTGTTTCACCTTCACAAAATAATTTTTTTCTCATATAATAATATAATGGAGACTTTCCTTTGGTGGACACACAGAGTCTCTTCAAACCCATATCTTGCTCCAGCTTGAACCATCTTAGTAAGAGGAAGGGTTTTTTTGTTGCTTGGGTTGTAAAGTTCAAATTGTGTTCGTTGTTATCTATCCCATAACATAATGTATATTCCCAGTGAATACCTTATGTTGTTTGGGGGGTTTTTCGTTGTTTTTTTTTTTCTTCTTTTCATGCAAGTTAAAAGTCACAAGTTTATGCCTAATAATATTTAAGTGAGTTTTATTTTATGCTTCTGTACTGCCTTGTACTGAGGAAAGTTGTAATAGACTGCTGGGTTTCTGGCTTGCCTAGAAATGGCACAGCAGAAGAGAAGGAAGCTGTGCAAAGGAACACAAGAGTCAGTACAAAAGCCCAGGTTTTGAAAAAAGGTGCACACAGGGTACTGAAGGAGGAATCTGATCTCCATGCTTCAGACAAACTAGTCAAAATAGAGATCCAGCCTTTCTTTGTAAATACAGCTACTGCAAGCCCCAGTTCAGGTTACCCATATGTACTCCTGCTTCTTCCAGCTGCCTAACACTGTGTCTACTCCTGCTATCCCAAACGTCCCCTACTTTTTAATTTCTGTTTCTGAACAGAAACAGTCCTTCACTACCCCAGACTGATCATTAATGTAACTAAATCTCCTTCCTTGAGGCACTTTTTTTGACTCTGCCATTGCTGTTGCTGTTAAAATCACCTTTATATCTTTTGCTGCCCCTCATGGTTACACTTTGCTGTGTTACTATCCCCTATTTATTACGACCTTTTTTAAACCATTTTCAACGTCTTCTTCCTGTTCCATTTTCTCACATGTCCAAGTACCCTTTTCCCCTCACTCCAGTCTCAGACAACTCTCCAAATGGATGGTGAAAATCAGTTGATCCCTGTGACTTCTGTGGAACTCTGGTAAGTACCAGGAAGTCAGAGTGAAGCACTGAGAGTTTTCAGGCTGGCTGCCATGTATCAACATTACAGCTCTTGCACATAAGACCATTCACCACTTCCCTTGTATATCTAATGGCATTGGCAAGGTTTACTCTAAGGTAACTTGGAATTTGATGGAAGTTATGATAGCTTTTTGTTAGTTATGGTATTTTGCTTGTTTTGATGGTGTTTTAATACTGTTCATTTTTTTTCTTTTAATAATAACACAGTGTAGCCTGCTGTGCATTGAATCAAATTTTGCATATCCCATATATCACCTTTGTATTTCTGGTTTTTGTTTCTTCTTCAGATGACATTACATTGAATTAAAACAATAACAAAGTTCCAGCATTGATGCTGTTAAGTTTTGCTTTGTTTGTATGCTATTCCTTCTCTCAAAGGTTTTCCAAACTTCATTTTCAAATAAACCTTGAATCAAAAGTTAACACCTTATTCCAGCAACAGACCAGCTTTGTGCAGAAAAAAATTTTAAATAAGACCTTCTTTTTGGAAAATAAATCAAAACCACTGTTGAATAGAATGCAATACATACATGTTAGTCATAAGACTGCAGAAAATTCTACCCTGTAATCCTCTGGAGGAGAATAGAACAGAAGAGATTAACTTAGATCAAAGATTTTGTGTAAAACATAAGTCAATTTTATTATGGATCTGTCCTTTCCAAAGAATCAATAGATTCTATGACCCAGTGAAATGATGTTAAATGGGTCAAGTACTATACACAAGTAAAAAGGTAGATTATTATCAGTCCCTTGTAATGTGAGAAACTGGGCGTGCTTAGAAAAGTAGACTAGATTTTAGTGAAGTAATCTGACTGATAACATCAGCTCTTGGGACCATGAATCTTGCAGAAGTTAGGTCAAGAGCCAGGATGAATGGAGGACAGAGACCCACTGCTGGAATCACATGTGGTGTTTGTCATTAAATGACTTCTACAGTGTGAGAAAGGGCAGGCATCTGCCCTGAACTAGAAGGAAGCAGCTGAGTCAGAGTCCTAATATTGATTCTCATTCTCATGGACTTCTGAGGTTTTGTGGTTTTTATGTGGTAAAAAGCAGATTTCTAAACAAGTCTTGCTAGAGCCCAGCCTATGAGCCCTTTAATCACTGTGGTAATTGGCACAACAGTTACAGCAAAAATTCCTAACAAGTTACAGCTTACATTCCTAACTCGGGATCCTTTTTGGATTTCACACGTATCCAGTGTACATCCACAACCTGTAAACCAAGGAAGGGGGCAACAACAACAAGACCAAAAAAACCCCAAATGAACAAACCCCTAAAAACCAAAACTGAAGCAGTCACCAAGTGCAAGCCAGTTGGAGAATTTCTTACCTTTAGGACCTTTACGACCAATCTCACCAGGGGGACCTTTAAGGCCAGGCAGGCCACGGGGGCCAAGCTGTCCTGGGAAACCATTTTCACCAGCAGGTCCTGGAGCACCTGGTGGCCCTGGTCGGCCAGGAAGACCTGGAGCACCAAATTCTGGCCTCCTAAGGCTGGCTGCCAGCTGAGCTAATTGTTCTGCAAAGAGCAGGAAGACAGAGTTATGAAGTGAACATGAATGAAGAGATTCCCATGATTACTGAAGAAAAATGTATGTTCACTGCTACAGGAACTGACAGATTACACTACAGCACCTTCATTTTCTACATAGCTATTTACAGAGTTTATTACCTAGAAGGTATTATCTTATTATAGAATAAGATATTTATATTAATTTAATTTATATTAACCTATATATAGTTTGGGATTTTTAAAATATCCTGTTAGGCAGTATCAAGAACAGTGACAACTACTGAAAATTTTTAAAACATGAGCAGCAATTTCATTCTGTAAACTCTTAACATTACAGAGGCATAATAACCCAAAAGACAAGTGTTTACAGTTTTTGTGTTTACAGTGCAGTATAAATTTCTCAACTCAGTAAGTTGCATGCACCCAACCATATTAAAAAAGCTTTAGACTTCTGTGTGTGTCAAGAACCCAACAAATTAGGGTTAGAGTATCACTGTATTGTTTTAATTTTAAGATACATTATCTCCAGAAACCTCTTCTTTATTCCTATTTTGCACAGTTTGTTTACTGAAATCTAATAGTGAATACAAAAAGATAAAAAGCTTTCAATGAAGCTTGTACTTTCATATATGTAAACATAGCAAGTGATTTGAAAGCAAATTGTTATGTATTTCACACAACTACTCTGGTCTATGTCCTGCTTACCACAGCAGTAGTGTGGAATCAACTTGTGTGTGTAAGTCCAGTGAGGCTACAAAATATATATAAATAAGGGATTTCCTCATACTGTCTCCACATTCACATGTGGAAAGATTTTCCACCAGGTTCCCTTGCTGAGGCCATGAAATTTGTTCTGGGTAAGCATGGGGAAAATCTTGGTTGCCTCCACAGAAATAGGTGATCTCAATTTAAATGCACAAGAAACATCAAATACTTTTTTGCCTATTTACCTTGCATGACTCTCATGCAAACCTGTTTAATGTGCTGATCGCTAGGTTCTTTTCCCTAGGATTAAAAAAAAAGAGAGTTTTAATAAAACAGTTCATGTCACACATTTTATGAATGTGCCTGATGCAAAAAAAAAAATGCTGTCAATAAACAGTTGTCACCATTTAACCCCAGCTGGCAAAACACCACACATCTGCTCAAGCCCACACCCATGGGACAGGGTTAAAAAAAAGAAGTTTAATAAATAGAAGGTAAGAAGAAGTAGAGGAAGGGGTAGGAAAAGGGGGAAGAGGATGAAAAAGAAGAAAATAAAATTCAAAAAAGAAAATGAGATATAAAGCAAGAGATATAAATTAAAGCAGTTTTCCCTGTAAATTAAAGCTGTTTTCCCTGGCTGAGCATGATGCTGCATGGTATGGGATATCACTCTGGTCAATTATAGTCAACTCTCCCAGCTGTGTCCCCTCCCAAATTTTTGTGCACCTCTAACCTACTCATTGATGGCACAGTGTAAGGAGCAGGAGAGGCTTTGATTCTATGAAATGATCACAACTGAAACATCACAGAATGGCTTGGGTTGAAAGGGACCTTTGAAACCATCTAGTTCCAACCCCTTCTCAGGACCCCTTTTAACCTGGCCTTGAACCCTTCCAGGGATGGAGCATCCAAAGCTTCTCTGGGTGATCTATTAGTTCCTCTTCATTCTTGCAGTGAAGAATTTCCTCCTAATATCTAATCTAAAACTATGCACTTTCACTTTGAAACCATTACCCTTTTTTCCTGCTCCCATCAGCATGCTATAAAGATTATTTTCAGCACAAATGCGAAACATAACCCCCAAACAAACCACTGTGAAGAAATTTAACTGCATCCCAACCAAAAACAATCCATGAGTCACTAAAAGGTGTTCCAGCTCCTGCAAGCACAAATATTCCAACTGATGCCAACTTAACTATCTAGGTAAAGTCTGTGAGTGATGTTCCTTTGTATCAAACATGGTTTGGTTTCATGCACACTTAAATGCAATAAGGAAACAGAGCTGAGCTGAAAGATGGGGCCCCAAGGACACAGCTGTGTACAGCCCAAGATTGCTCTGGTGTACACCTGTGTCTGATGAGAGGCACACCATGCTTCAGACTGCTGCAGCACTTCAGTTTGGCACGTGTACATGCAAAACAAGGAGTGGTGTGAGTGAGAGATGAAGGTTCAGAAGATACCAATGACATGAAAACAGTACTTACAGCTGGACCTTCACTGCCAGGCAGGCCTGGGGCACCCTGCTCACCCTGCAAGCCTCGTGGTCCAGGTAAGCCTCGTGGCCCTTCCATGCCAGGCAGTCCCCGACTTCCCTCAGGCCCACGGGAACCGGGGTCTCCAGGATTACCAACCTGACAAAGAAAGAGAGGAATTTCAATGAGCTTCTGTACTAGTGACAGACTCATTCTGACCTATCATAATGGTGACAGGACCTATTCACAAATGCAAAGAAATGAGTGCTGAAATGCAGTTGTTCAATAGGATTATTTTTTTAAATAAGCGACTGGAGTCAGTAGTTGCATTTTTAAGAGGTCTGCACTCTTCACTTATGGGGGGAAGTGGAAAAACAATCTAGTCTGTCAAAATAGGTAAATCAGAATTAATAGTGACATGCTTAAGATGGCTCTCTGCCCTCAACATGGAACATTTCTAGACATTAAGCTTAGGGTGTGGAAATTCCAGCTCCCTTCTTGCTCTAAATGCTTTTCATGTCCTTCTGTAGATAGTACCACAGTGTGAGTCTCTACTGTGTAGCCCCAGGATTTTTGGGAATACACATTTTTGCTCTGTTTACTCTGTTAGAGACAGAGCTAGTTCTAGTGCCTATGCTGGAGTTTGCTGGCAGAGGGAAAGAAAAATCCTCAAACAACTGACATTGACAAACTGCCTGAACAGATGCAGTGCCACCTTATTTCACTCAGGGAAGGGGTAGAAAGCTATTCCTGACCCTGTGGAATGAAAAGATTGATGGGACTATGTCAATACGTCCACTTAGGTACACTGTAAACAAAGCTATAGCTTCTGCTCCAGTAAATTTACTAAGAGATATTAAATATCATGCAGAGGGAGACTTATGCCAGCAGGCACCTCTGAATTACTCTATTTGGTTTGAGTGGCAATGTTGTGGTAGCAGGGGGTCTACACAAGTGGCTTCTCTAAGAAGCTGCCAAAAGCTTCCCCCATGTCCAGCAGAGCCAACACCAGCCAGCTCTGAGACAGAACTGCTGGCCAATGCCAAGCCAATCCATGATGTTAGTGAAGCCTCTGGGAGAACATATTTAAGGAGGAAAAAGTTATTGCCCAGAACTAATTGCAGACAAAGAGCAGGATGAGAATATGTGAAATGAACAGCTCTGCAGACACTGAGATCAGTGCAGAAAGAGGAGGAGGTGGTGGTCCCTTTTTGTTTTACTTCCTATTATCCTATTCCTACTCTACTATTTATCAGTAGTAAATCAGTTAATTTACTCAAGTCTGTTTTGGCTGTAACTGTAGCAGGTGAGGGATCTCTCCCTGGCCCCTGACCTGGACTCATGAGCTTTTTGCTGTATTTTCTCTTCCTTGGCCAGTTGAGGAAGGGAGTGTCAGTGTGGCTTTGGTGTACACCTGATGTCCAGCCAAGGTGAAACCACAACAGTTGCTTTCAATACAAGTTAATTTACTCCTACTAATCAATAGTAGTAATAACAAAGAAAAATAACACATAAAATAAGAAAAAAAAATTAAAATCCTACATATTCATGACTTCCCAAATCTATAGGGGGGAAAAAAATAAAAGAGAGCAGGCCTGCTGAAAGAGATGCTAAAGAACAAATTCGTCAGGTGTGGTATCAGTTAAATCCACAAGGTGGAACCATTTCGGTTCCAGCTGTGCTGCATCCCAGACAGCCGCTGGCTGTCCCTATCAAAACGAACCCCAGAGACCATGCCTCGATAGATACATTAAGAAGACAGAATAACTGCTTTTATGGACTATGCAACCGGGAAGCCATCACTCCTTTCTGCCCCAGGCTGGTGAGGTATCCGGTTCCCAGACAGATCACTCATTCCTGTGAGAGTACTCACTGGGATGACGAGCACTCTAGGCTCTTGTCAAGACAAAAGGATTTGAAAAATCTCTTCCTCATGTCCTTCTCGTAGGACCTTCATCAGCAGTAAACACTCTTTAGCCTGTATTTGCTTAGCCCAAAAATTACCCAGAACACTAGTAACACAAGCACAGGATTTTTTGTTATGCTCAGCCTCTGTTCCCCATAAGAAGAACTTGGTATTTTAGCATCACAGCTCATACTGGCAGATGCTTTAACAAACCAACTCTTCAGTGATCCTGAAGTAAAAGAATGAATCCAGCTCTCTCTCCAGTTATTTTTTTATGTGACATACAAGATTCTGCTCACCTCCCATATCAAAGTTATAATTTTGCAATAAAACAAAACAAAATTAAACAAAACAAAATAAAATTACAAAAACACAATAAAAATAAAATGAAATAAAATGAAGGAAGCTGGGTCATAAATACTTCTGGTTTCACAGACATCACAATCCTACTGCCAGCTTTTTAACAGTGGCATGCAGCCACTGCACTGAGCTTCCTTTCTATCCAGCACCTACTGTACAAAGGGTGCATTCATTTTTTTTAAAAAAAACTTTTTTGGCAAGAAAACTGCTGCTGAATGATGTTTCTCTTTTATGGAGTTAGAATCCAGGAAACTAATTCTTTTTCAAAGCTAATTCATTTTAATATTAACTGTATTCAAAATTTAAACAGAAGAAAAGCTGCTAAAAATCATTTCATTTAACTACAATAAAGAGCTCAGCTTGTTATTCACATTTTTCTTTCCTTAAGTCAGAAAATCATCTATATAATCTACTAGATCTCTGTATTTCTGTAACAATGCTATTCATTATACTCACAGCTCCCTTTGCTCCTGGTAATCCCACGTCACCCTAAAAAGAAGACAAACTATATTAGGAGAGAGTCTCCTTAACACAGGCTTTACAAATGTGGTAAATGCTTTTTCAATATAAAGTAAATTTCATTTATTTAGTTGATTTATGCAAAATTACACCACAAATAATAAAAACTCCTTTGAGAATAAAACCTTCATTTTGAGTGGGTTTTGTACAATTCCTTTCTCAAAAACTCTTCTGTAAGGTGCAAATGAGAAAGCATGTCTGTTAAAATGGGTTTTGAATTGCTTCTCTTGGAATTAAACACATGGCTCTAACCTCACAAACACAGCTACACTACAGGACAATCTTAGATAGAAGATTTCTTGGAAACCTTTAGAAGAAGCATTCTTTTAACTAGGATTTTCTAGTTTCTTCATAGTGACAGAACTATGGGTATCGGTGCTATGTTAGTGCTGAAAAAACTGAAACAGAAACTACCTAAAGTTCTGTGAAGAAACCAAACCTCTACAAGTTCCTATTTCCAGCAATCTTTCTCCTGGCTTCAGCAATGTCAAAATCCCTCAATCGCCTGACTGAGAATAGCAATCCCAGTATTCAGGAATTTAGATTTTCCTCTCAGCTGGAAAAAACCTAAAAAAACAAACCTCTCAAAATCTTGTCATCAACTATGAAATAGATTAGCATGAAAACACCAAAGAAACTTAGAGTAATTTCTGTAAACTGTACTTTCCCAGTTCCTAATGTTATTGGTGGAATAACAGGTTTCCAGTCAAAGGCCTGCCTGTTAGTGAATATGTCATAATTGAAATAGAAATAACTGTTATCCATTTAAAACCGGACTAGCTGGCAGCACACTTAACCCATGATATTGCTTCCTGGGAATCTGTAGAGTGATTACAATGCTCAGTTACTGGACATCTAGCTCACTCATCTAGCTCAAAATTGCAGGGTGTGGGGTAAAAAAACACTCATTTCCAGCATACAACCTGGCTAACTTTCTTTGAATATGAGCAGTTTACTTCCTTTAGAAAGACCAGTTCTGGCTTTGCTGGATGAGGTCCCATGGCAGCCACCAGAATAAGGAGTTTCTCTTTTGGCAGGAAAGCAAACCCCCTTTACCCAAGGGCACATGACCCAGGCATTACCCATGTCAATTCACAACATAGTATACAGACAGATGTAGATATATGCAATATCACAGTGCCACAGGCTCTTCCCCGTCCATTTTCCCTCTCTCTAACAGCCGGTTGCAAATCGTATTTCCAAAGAGAAAGTCAATACAAAATATTTCCTTTAAGTGTGAGTCATTGAGGTTATTTATTAATTCTCCTCCTGTTTCACCTAAATTAAACTAGCTGCTCATCCTCACTGCCTCAAACACCAAGAATTTCTGTGCCTACATATGCATATGTATATATATTTTCTCATATAAACACTCATATATATACACACACACACATATATATATGTGTATCTTCATACAAACACAGACACCTCCTTTTTCTTCAAGGCAGTCTGTACTGTACACCTAACAGAACTTGTGTATTTCCAAATGTGCTTTTCAAACAGCAGGAACAGAGTAATCAGGCAAATAGAACTACTGTGCTCTGCAAGGGCCAGTTGGTATAAAACTGAAATGTGCCTTTCAATGATGAAAACATAACATTTGAAGCACTCCAACAATAATTTATAGTTTTAGTTTACAACAACAGCATATTATATCAGGTAAAAGAAAGAAAAAGCGCCTTACTAAGTCACCCTTTTCTCCTCCATCTCCTTCTGCTCCAGGTGCACCCTATACCAAAGGAAAATACACTGTCAGCCTTCAGATGTAGTCAACGTTATGTGATATTTGGCACTGCGATTTTAAAGTCCCATGATCTCTAACATTACTTACTTGTTCACCCTTAGGTCCTGGTTCACCCACCGAGCCCTAAAACATTAAAGATAAAAAATATTTTTTTAAAAAAATAATTAATTAAGAACAAGTCTTCAGAATTTTTAAGCTCAGGCTCTAAAGCACACTAAATGTTATTTGATCCTAAATTTTGCATTCATGCAAGAGACCTTTCAAGCTGCAAATTTTTAAGAATGACAATGAAAGCACTTGAATCTTGCCACGTAATTTATGTGACAGAGTGAAGGCAAGCACTAGTATGGAACACATAATCCACCACCACACTGTACAGTACAGATTCTGACTGTCCAACAGTACATCTCCTCTTTACCTTTACAAATGTCCTTGCAGCTGCTACAGGTCTCTCTGAGAATTGCTTAGAAGCTACAAGTAAATAAACTCAGTAAGTGCATCACTTTTTCTAGCATTATTATATATTCTATATTGCTGTAGGCTATACTAGCCCTACTAATGTGGGAAAAGCAGAGAGACATCCAAGTACAGCTGCAATCTTGTCCTGTGTGCTGTTTAATTCTCAATGTCTTTTAGCAAACTTGTGTCTAGAATTTTGATCATTGTAGTCAAAGCTGAAGGACTTGTATCTTAAAGTTAATATTCCATTTTAATATGTTATGCTCCATATTAGAATCCTCTAATAAAACATACTCATGTGGACAGGCAGGAAACAAACAGAAATATATTAATGGCTCAATTAATTTCAAACATACATAATTTTTTCTAGAGCAAAATAAGTTTTCAGAACAGCATATCATTCAGGAAAATCTTTTTGCATTTGTATTCTGTCAGAAAACCAGCCACAGCATCCTTTAAATATTCTTTGCAGTCTGTGCATGTTCAAAGATATGCATTCCAAACAAACTATAACTCTGCATGATAATCCTGTTTTTGTAAAACAGACAGACACGCAGCAGTTTCTCTCCCATTTCAGAGATCAATTTAATTCGCATAAGATATAGGCACACAGACTGGTGTATCTTTTACAAATTTAATGAATTCTGACATGTTCTCATGTTCTTGAGGATGAAGAGCTAATACTAAATTATCCACAAAGATAAGCAGTATAAATGACAGAACTATTTAGCATTCCAACTTCATCAAACAACTGAAACGATTTTGTCTGAAGTGTCCTCAACCTTGTGCCTTGTTAAGGTTTCCCACTTACACAAAAAAGACATTGGTTTCCAACCTAATACTGTTTTGAGGGATCTTCTTCTCCCCTTACTCTTCTTTAGAGCAATAAAAGTGCCAATAGATAAAGCTGACACAGAAGAATCTATTTCTTCTGTGAGCCTTGTCCTGCAATGTTTGTATAAGCAAATATAAAAATCACAAATGAAACTGTTGGCATCTAATTCTACACTGACTCCAAAAACTGCAATGGAGGCAATAATGCAAGATGTCAAATTATGAAAATACTCAGTTTTCTTGACATACTGCCTATGTATTTTGCAAAAATCCCTCTCAAATTATACTCAAGAACTATTTGCAAAACTGCCTGTCAGCATGGTCCAAAACTGTACCAGGGGCTACTTTAACTACTTAGCAGTACAAAGGATCACATTGCAATGCCAAGGCCTGGAACTTAGCTTGGTGCTGTTTAAGTGACTAAGACAGAGCCCAAGTGTATGCAACCAATCCAAAATATGTGGATCAGAAACTGCCTAAGTGGTGAGTGCTGGGGTTTGGCCATTATCCATGTTGTGTGGGTATAACTAGCCGGTAAGATTCACTGAAGCACAACCCATTGCTCTTAGTGCCTTGCACTGCTCTCTCTGCTAGACCACGTCAGGTGATCTATGATCTGTGAAAATAAGTCAGGTGATGTGCCTGAAGCACACAGCTCCTCACCCAGACTACTGGCAATCTGGTGCAGGCTCCAAAGGAGGCAAAGACCTAGGCTGTGACCTCCTTTTCCAACCTGAAAACCCACCCAGGAACAAGGTGACATGGTGAGGATCGGTCCATGTGGGCTTGGAAACAGGAATGCTGATCCTGCAGTTAGCATATGATTTTACACTTGTAACATTCAGTCATTATTATATCCACTGAATTTTGTCAGCTCTCACTTTTACATATTACTTCAGTAAAAATAATTCTGGTGGTAACTTTGGAGGCGATTTATTCTTACACAACAGAACTTTATAGGATCCCTGTGGATGAACCATGAAGTTTTGAAATCAGAAAAGGAAAAAAGGTTACTTCAGCCTAGAACTTATTCCTAGAAGGGGTTGACCAAAGACTGGGGTTAACAGGCTACAGAGACACCCATTTCCAACCTGACAAGGTTGTTTGTGTAAGACTGATGCAGTTGCAAAAGCTGAAGGGAAGAGGAAGGACAGAGTGGCACAATGTTCTCCAGGCTTGTGACTTGGAAGAGATACTGCAGGTCAGTGCTGCTGGCAAGGCTGCAGCCATGCTAAGCCTGCCCCAGAAAATTCACTCCAACCTCTATGCAACTGGAAAATAAAACATGAACCAAGGATACAAGTGGAGAGCTAAAAACAGTCACAGAATGAAATATTTCCTAGCATAGCACTTTGGACTTTAAGGTATTTGCACAGAGCATTAAACTGACGTCAGGTTTTTAAAACAGATCCAGGAATAAATTACTGTCATCTGCCAGTTAAATACTCAGAAACCTCCTGGCTGTAAACTGAATCACTCTAGTTTTGTTTACAGCATCTACATTCTACTTTTTATCCTAGAGATCCAGACCATTTATATGGCACATGAGGAAAATCAAACACCTTTGGAGAGAGGTTGTCAGCACTGCAACAAATGTTAGATATTTTCCTTCTGCCTTTGCTTCCTCAGTACCTTCAATCTCCCTCTAGAGAAGTCTAAAATATAAATCATTACCAATCTAATAAAACAAGACTCCTTTATGTCAATACTTACATTTGACTAGAAACTTGTGTCCTGATCTCAGCATTAAAAGAAAACCGAACAAACATGAAAAAAAAATACCTCAACAACATCAAAGATTCAGAAGATTGCTTTTAAGTATCTGAATAGCTTTTTTAAAAAGCTGCCAAAAACAACAGCAAACCCTATCCAGAAACCCTATGATGTACACTGGGAGCACACCAAGGGCAGGATTCCTCTGTTCAGCTAAGACATTCTACAGTAGTTATACCTATGTCTGACTAACAGTGCAAATAGTTGTCAGGAGGATGTAAGAGGCACTTCACAAGTGTAATTCATTTAATTCTGATGTAGACATGCCTCAAGTAAGGAAGACACAGTAGAGAACTTAATATTTTTATATCAAGTATGTCAGGAGTTTGGCAAATGAATTCCATCCTTTGCAGTCTTCTGTAGCCAAGAGAAGATAAGAAACATCTCCAGCTTTATATACTGTGTTCACTAACATTTCTAGAACAAAGCAATATATATTCTGCAGTTATGTGAAGTCCCTGGGGCCCAATCCTTCCCTGTCAACAAAATACTAGAAGAAGTATTTATATCCTGTAATTCTGCATGCATCCATAGGCATTTCAATAGCTGCATCAGCATGTGTATTTCCGTAGCAGGTCCCAAGACATGTGTGACAGGCATCACTACCACTGTAGGTGAGGGCTGAAGTTGCAAAGCTCTTTAGTGACCACAGACCCTGACTAACCATCTCATATCTAGCTGTATCAGTTATTTGCAGTATGATTTAGGTCTTTAAATAATTCAGACTTAAAAAACCAAAAGAATATTTACACCAGTAATCATATTTCAGTCCCTTAAGTGACACTGTCACAACTCTTCCTGTACATGTTCATGAGCTATAAGTAGTTAACAGGCACAAGGAGCACTTTCAAGCAGCTAAAATATCTACATACAAAACAAGAAAAGAGACATTAATTAGTGGAAAAAATTGAAAACAGTCATCAACTTGTTGTGTTTACGCCTGACATCAAACTGCATGTACGAGTGCATTGCTTACCCGGTCACCTTTACCACCAGGAAGGCCTGGAGGACCAGGCAGTCCAGGAAGTCCAATATTACCCTGGGGACCCTGTGAAAATAAGTCAAGTATGTAAACTTAGCCAGTCTTGTTTAGAATGAATAGCTAAGGGTCATTCCCTGAAGCAGATGGGGCAGAACCTTACTCCCAGAACAGATTTAGCTTGATGAAAGGGATTATCTGATGCAAATTGGGCTGATCCAAAGTATGGCACTTTAACCAGAATCTTGTTATGAATTTATTGCTGACAGTCACAACAGAAATTACTTACAGAGTATTCTACCCTCCAGTCCCTCAACAACAGACTGGTTCTCTGAAAAATACTTCCCAAGATCTTGCACTCTGTGATTTGCACATTCCTCTGTAACAGTAAGCTCTTTCAGCCAAGACCTCCCCAGCTATGCTTCTAACTGATTCTGTGTAAATACTGCTGGAGCTCTGGTAAAAGGTGGCATTCATACTGTGCTCCATTCATTAGCTTCACGTAGCTGTCAGCAGAAAGCCAGTCTCACACTGCTCCTGTTCCCAGGAGCCCACACAGGAGTGTGCAACTCAGCTTTGCATGTCATAGGATTTACGGTTTATCAAGTAGAAGAAAAAGTCACACACACCTCCATGTCATTTAAAACAGCATTTTCTAATATTAGCACAGTAACAGAAGACTGCAAAAAAAACCTGAACCACCACTCATTTCAATGCTATTTTCGGTTCCCTGCCTGGATAAATGGGTTAGTATAGTTCCAGATGATACTATAGCTCCTTGAAAGTAAGCATGAGCATTGAATATAGATATAAACTGCTTACCAACTTCCCTGGTAAACCTGGAGGACCTGCAGGACCTGTCTCCCCTCTGCTACCCTAGAAGCAGAAATAGAGGGAACAACATTATTTCCTGGAATTCTTCCTGTGATCTGGAAATAAAGTATGATTTTTTTTTCCTTAGTGCTAAGTGATTGACACTACTTAGCCATTGGGTTTAACTGAAACTTCTTTTTCATAGTGCAAAAATTCCATATGCATTAAAACCAGTGATACTTTCTGAGTAAACATTTTTAGTTAACAATGCCATATAACCTGTATTTGGCATTAAAAGATTCAAGCAAATAATTTTGGTGAGTGATTAAGCAAAATGAAGTTCCCTTCATGGGATCACACCTGAGAGTTACCTGTCACAAACACATCCACTTCCCTATGACAACCCTGGCAGGTTAACTTTAGGCTTTTAATTAGTTTCTTCACCTGAGCTCCTATCTGACCACATATTTAAAGCACCTAATCCCAATGCACAAATGTGAAAAGTGAATGCAGAAGTAATGCTTAATAAACTTGTTCAGGTTTAAAAAAAGTCTAGATTGTTACAGGGAAGGGTAGCTTTTAAAAAACATTTATAATAGTGATAAGCATAAATACATGCTTTACCACACCTTTTTATCTTCACTTCAGACATGTTTATCCATTCAGATCATCACATTAACATAGTGTTACAACTTTATTTCTTAATGTAGCCATTTGAAGACATACTCTGGGTGAATCTGACATTGAGCCAAACTTGCAAAGATTTGAATTTTTGAACTAAAGTACCTTCTCAAAAAGATTTTCTCTTATGATTAAACTTTTCAGAACAGCTCAATAAGTTTTATAGCTTTACTCTCACAGGTTAAGACATATCCCTGCACAGATAAATCCAAACTATGTCCCAACACAAGCTTAGGTCTCACTTGAGAAACTCTTCTTAAATTCACTGGGAGGCTATTTAAGTGCTATTTGCAATAAAGGAAAGATATAACATTTAATATCATAAAATGTCAATAATTGAAGTTATTAGTTCTGCAAGTTAATAAGCTATTATACAATAACAGAACATCTTAGATAAAAGTAGATCTTAGCATTCTAGTGTTGTATGCAATGGATAATTTTAAATACAGGATTTTTTTCCATAACGAGAACAATATTGTGAAACGTTGTGGCATAGTAAATTAAAGGAGATGGCAGACATGGCCTTTTATACTAGGCCATAAATGCAATGACAGCGTCTCACACAAGCTTAGGAAAGCCAACTTTACAATTCAAGAAATAATTAGGTATCCTGGAGAGATCACAGAACCAAACATAAACAGACTTTTCAATTAATTTCCCTCAAAATATCCTATGGTGTTAAAATACCTATTACTTTAAAGCACTTTGCATAATTTTTAGAACCTTTTTCATGTTGGAAAAAAAAAAAAAGAAAGGAAAAATGTCCTCTAACTGACCTTCATCTTACAACCCAGAAAATGCATTATGTTTAATCACAAAATTCTGAACTACATCTCTGACCTGGACTACTGCTACATTTCCAGTGAAGGAAAGACAAAGACTAAAATTATGATCACCATTAGAAACTTGTTTTCTCATGTCATTTTCATAACAGTCACTGCTATACAGAGATGAAACAAAAGCAGTACTTCAGAGAGTAACTTCAGAGAGTTCAAATGTTATAATAAACCTCTTAAGCATATCAAAAGTTCTGCTGGTCATACAAAATTCAAGGAAAAAACTTCCATTTTATTTCAAATGCAGTAAAAGATCTTTTGTCAGATGCATACCACAGGCACTTTGTCAAACACAATGCTTTTCCAAGGAGGCAAAGAAGGAGGTTAGTTTACAGAAGACCAGAATACAAATGCATACTATTTCTTGTAAACATTGACGTTATGTCTGTAAGGATAGATTATCTCAAACTATAGGCCACCACTGCAAGATCTGCAGGAGTGTTTTAGAAAGTGAGAGAGGAACTGGAGCCCAAAAAATGAGGAATCCCATCCCTGGCATAACTAGAAAGACTGTAATGCTTCCTCCAAGTTATACCAGACTGAAGCAGCCCTAGGATAGGTTATACAGTAAGCTGCTTACTCTGAAAGAAAAAAAGGCATCTTGAAATGTCCTCATGTAAACATTTAAAATGCAATGTAAGTCACGTCCTAGAAGCACCTACATTTTCCCCACAGCCTATAGGAGAGTTTCTGTAATAGCTGGTCCAGGTGCTGACATCTGTTTTTGATCAGATGAAATGTTCCTCTGTGCCATAAGTCACTACGGGCAGTGATTACAGCAGAAAGCCGTGTGGCCACGTCCCCAGCCTACCTTTCTTACACAGCAGCCCTCTGTGTAACAGTGCATAGCTTCAGGCCAGCCACCAACCAACAGGCATGCTGCACTGGCTTTAACAAAAAGACTGCCAGAATCTGTATGGTTTCATGCGCTTCTGACACTTCAGAATCCGTTCGTTTCCTAGAGGTGAAACTCTTAAGGAGGGAAAGCAGCCACCCTAGTTGTAGGGGCCTGAGACAGACCAGCTTGCATCCATGCTGGCAAACATTCCGTGCTTCTAAAAATCTGTGAAAATCAATGCCTGAACCACTGAATATGTGATTAACGTCTTTCTAACAGATCCATTATATTCAGCCTTTTAATGTAATATACGTAAGATTACAGGATTTACAATTGACCTTCCTTTAGGTTGTCCGGAATTGTTTCCATATTCACTGAAATTTGGAAGACTTGATCCTTTTGTAGAATTCTCACAAACAGTTACAGAATGAATTCGCATGCTGAGAGTTTTCACTGGCTTATTGATTTTCTGTTCATCAATTGAGTAGAACAATAATAAGAATGAGAATACATCCCACATAATTTTCATCCCACTTAGTTGCCCAGATAATTGAAACACTAATTAGAACCACTTGAGAGGTAATATACATCATATACTGTATTAACCCTTTATTACTTTTAAAAATTGTTATTAATTTTAAATAATTTGTTATCTATTATTAAACACATGTCATAGGACTTCCATAGAGAATTAAATCTGTGTGGAATAAAGAAGAATAAACAAAGTACATCTTGGATTTTTTAAAACTTCATATTCAAAGTTTTTTGCAAAAATCCCATATATCAACTATATACTTATGAGACTTAAACTTACCAAAATTTTGCCATGCAAAATCTCAGAGGAAATACTCATTTAAGTTCAAGGATTTAGCCACAGAAGCATCAACAGGACTCTTTGACCCTCAATACAGTACTGAAAAGCATCCAAGTATGTAAAATAATATTCGATAGAAGAGTAAATATACAAGTAACTTTCTCTGAGGTTTTAAATGTAACTTTGTCAGAGTAATAATTAAATTTTACTGCTCAGGATAATGGTAAGAAGCAGATGTAGCATGAAATGCTCCCTCCTCTTATCTGTCCCAGGCTTTGGGCAGAAGCAACAACCCACTAGCTGTTGTTCTCTTTTCAAGCGACACTGTGGCCAAGTCTAGAGGGCAGAGACCTTTCATTCTGTGTCTGCAGTCTTAGCTGAAGTCCAGGACAGCTTTGGTACACTAGCTCCTTACCAAATCCAGTTTTTACCCAGGCCACTGTCTACACTGCTTAGGAGAAGCCAACATTGTGATATTTGCTGACATCTAGAGGTCTACCAAGCCCAAAAGTCAGAGAGTTGTTGGTGGTGGAGGGGTAAACAAAAGGGTATCAGACAAGAATCTGGCCATGCCATTTAGGAAGACAGGGGTGGATACTAGGAGAAGTGAAGAGGCTTGAAGCTTATAAAGTTTGACTGGGATATGAAGTCTGCAAGCATAACTGAAAAAGTGCTACCTTGTACAAAACATTCTGCACAATTGGTCAGGGTCCAAAAGTTCTGTCACATTCATCTAGAGGCTTAGGTTTACTATATAAAAAGTACCTTCCAAGATGGAAATGCATTTTGTCCTTTTGACTCTGCTATAAACACTCTAATGCTGACTAACTCCTTTAGCTCTGCCTTGAATGTAAACTATGACACCACTTGTGGAACATGTATAACTATATAAAATATATATAAAAATTATATATAAAATAATATGTCCACTAATTCCTAAACATACCATATAAACTGAGACAAGGACATTTCATCCAACCATTATCAACTACAGAAAGTGACACAGTATTCCAGTTGCAGTCATGTCAAAGGAATATGATAGAAAAGCTACACTTTGGTTACCATAAGTAGTTTAACTAGTAACTAAAGTTACATTTCAGCATAGGCAGGACAGAAATGCCTTTAAAGACCAGTAAATTATTTAGCTGAAAGTAACTTAAGATGCTGGAAACAGCATTCTCCTCTAACTTTAGACTGTGTGACATTTGAGTACTAAATCCAAGGTACTCTCTGGGTTTCCCCTCTATAGTGAGACAAAGGCACTTCCAGAAAGGAAGTCATCCCAACTGACCTCAGAAGTCTCTCAGAGGGGCAGTGGCATCAAATATGAAGCAGCTGGATATTTAGTCTGTGTTGCTAATGTTGGGAAAACATGTATTACTTCCTAATTGCAGAGCAACATATGTGACTGCTGGCCTGCATATGCATCAAGTGTGCTCGATTTGCTTGACACATATTGAACTTTAAGTGACTACAATATCACAAGCTCTCTGCAAAACCACAGGGTGCAATACAGGCTCTCAAAATGTTAGCAATTTATAGGTTAAATAGTTGAAGAAAAGCAAGGGATGAAAAAGCAGAGGCAGAGGTCAGTATTTTCTGCAGAAACTAAATTAGATTACTAAATCTCAGAAAATATGAAAGAAAATGGTTAAGCAGCTTAAGGAGCACGACTAAATTCCACTGATTAGGAATGACACTCCCACATTTGAGAATTCCTTCCTTTGGCCCACCTGCCATGATGACTGACTTAGAAAGGTTTAAATCACAAATGAGTTTGGTAATTACTTGGATTGGTTAGAACAATGTGAAGCAAACAAGGCTAACCAACAAAACAATTAGAGTGGGGTGGAGAATATGTTTCATTTAGAAATAAAAGGCAACATTTCCATGTTGCTCCAGTTGTTTTTCCAGTTTACTGAACACACAAATAGCAAAAGAGGGGTTTTTTATCCCTACCCATTCAGATGCCAGTTTAAGTTTTTTTAAGGAAAAGCAATAATAGACTAAAATTATACCTTTTAAAGCAAGTTTCTCCTAGAGATATTTGTCAAAGGTGAGGAAAAAGAATCTCCTAACAAACGAGTTCGCCATGAGTTTTTAGCTAGAGCTAGTAATCTTGTTTTCAAATATTTTCTATCTTCCCTGTGAAACTTTAAATGTTTACAGACTCATGAAAGGCCAAAATATGAACCTGCTGTTTAGTAACAATATCTTCCCAACTACATTCCAACAGCTGTTTAACAATAGAACACACTGAAATAACATGGTGTATAACAGAGGACTCAACAAGTTTTTTGGCAAACAGCATAAACATGGTGTATAACAGAGGACTCAACAAGTTTTTTGGCAAACAGCATAAAAGTGTTATTTCTCCCACAGAGCCACTGATGATAGTGTTCTCTTCTGTAACTTTTCAAAAAACTACACAGTAGGTAAAGTGAAAAATTTCTCTCAAAAAATGTCTTCTGCAAATAGATAAAGCTGAAAAGCCCTGTGATTTTTAAATGTAACACAAATGTGGGCATGTAGGTTTTCCCTGATGCAAATACCAGCCTGCTGGCCATATTAGCAGAGCCAGCCTCGTTATCTCCCCCCACAGACCCAAATGTCCTCTCCTCTGGAATTCTGGTCCTCCTGGAGCCACCAGCTGTTTTGTCTCACCCAGTTGTAATGCAAAAAAGAGGGGTAAGTGAAATAGGGGAGTACACAGGATTTTATGTGGTTGTTGCTGTGCATCCAATATATATGGGGACTGAAATTCCCCATATCCTGCAAAATATCGAGGTTTTTCCTTTCTCCAAGAAATAAACCCAACCCCTCCTGACTTCTACCTGAGTCTTCCATAGCAAGAGTAGAATGTAACAAATAGGTAAAGGAGAAAGAAAGAACTGAACTGAGTTATTAAATGAATAATTCAAAATAAGAATAAATAGGCCAAGAAAAATACCATAACCAGAAATTCCTCGGGCTTTGAAAGTGTTTCTTTATGACATTTTGGTCTAAAGCAAGCAGGTGTTAAAGCTGTGAGAAAATTTCAGACTAAGAAAGAAAAAAATAAAATTCTCTTTAGAACAATTATAATTGAATTACATATAATTCCTTTCTCAACTTATTGCCAAATTGTCTTGTTTTAGAAGTTTGAAAATCATGCTATGTAGAATTATTTAACCAGCAGATTATTTTTTCCCTAGAAATGGAAGGACAGAATCCTAAAACCTGAAGTTCAAAAGTAAGCTACATGTATATGCTGCAAAAGAAAGAGAAAACATTCTTTATTCTGCTCTGGAAATAAATATTGACTCAGCTTAGACCAAAGCTCTCTGAAGTTCAACAGTTCAACACTGTGTCCTTCCTAAACAAAAAAACCCTCATCATCCCCCTTTTTTTGTAGATGTAAAATGTTCCTGAAAAAAGAAAAAATAGAAAGTTATCCCAGTCATAAGCTGCCTGTAGTCTCAAGCTGAGAAAAGCCAACATAGTTATTATCCAAGGCTCTTTATAGCTTATAAGGGAACTACAGATGAGAAGTAGCTTACATTATGGGTTTGATGCACCCCATACAAACTTACTTCATAATAATTTATTTACATTCTCCACATTGTATTAACCAGCAGTTTTCTTTCTATGCTTTGGTTCCAATGTTTCCATGTTTTCCAAAATGAGTGCACTTTGTAAACACAGAGAAAATAAAGGCAAGGAATCCAGATGTCTTTCTGGTCTCTAGAGTGATAAAAGGAAAAATCACTGTATTTAATCTGCTTTAAGTATTTCTGTCCATGGACAGGGTTACTAATAATTAACCTTGTGTGTCAACCCCTATTCTACGGACTGCTGATTTTGTAAATTCATGTTCACATTGAAAGGATTAAAAGAATAGTTCAGCAGATTACAGTGAATTATCAGAGTGGGCAATTACTTTGGTCTGATCCAATTATAATTCTTGTTCCTGTCACAAATGTACAGTATCTGCCTAAGAACAGGGTTGAAGACCTTTTTGAGTGTGTCCAATGCTTTTAAATACAAAGAACAAAAATAAAGACAAAAACAAAAACTTGTTTACAAGTTGGTTTTTTGAGAAGCTGAAGATACCTGTATTCCACCTTAGTAAATGCTCTTATAAACCCCTTTTTGTATCATCCTTAGGCAGCTGTGGACACAGCAGCAATGCAAAGACTCCAAAATAAATGTGAACTCATGAATTAATACATCTAGCACCTGATATCATAAACCACAGGGGAAAAAAACAAAAGAAAATGGAATCTGTTACTTGGCTGACTGCTTAGGAGCTAATTCAGAGAAGATATTCCTGACCCTTAAAAATCTACCACACAGAGTACCTCACTAAACCTTGTATGAGAATAACCCTACAACTCCATGAGCAAAATTTGTGTCATTGTATTATAGCAGAGACTCGGAAAATTCTGGGAAATCATCCCCAGGGCATCAGTGGCAGGAGGGAAGCCTGAAAAACCAATTGCTTACAGAGCCTGAAGCCTGGCTAATGCCTTCAGAGTAAATATTTGTACATGAAAATTTTCTTCAAATCACTGATTCTCTCATGCCTCTCCATCCAGAAGGATTAACAGCAAAGGGAAATTAGATCAGCCTTATGCAGCTTCAAACCATGTCAGATCCCCTCTAGAGAGAATCAGAAGGCAGTACCAAACACCCTCCAAAATCCAGCTGTCCTTTGTCTTCAAAACTGAGCCTTAACAAAAACCATCAGTTCGCTTTTCTTAGCAGATTTCTTTCCTGCAGCAAGCTACCTGCCCTGCAGAAATTTTTCCAGTCTTCCAAATCCTTCTAGTGTTAAGGAAAATCTCCAGGGGAATAAATTACAACAGCAGCGTTTCCAATGAAAGATAAATCCTATTCTTCACATCACTATATCTATGGTAATAATATGGTTGGCAAACCAGACTGTTACAGCAGAAGAGCAGGAGTGTGGTTCCAGCTTTTTCTCACAAACCACACTTAGTCCCTCCATTTTGGCTTTTACTCAGCATAACCAAATACAAAGGCAAGAAGAATATAAACAAAGGTAAAAAAATTAACTTTCCACCAAAGCCAAAACAAATCGTAGGACATTTCTGGAGTATATTTCTCTGTGTGCAGATGCACATCCTCTTGGTACAGAAGGTAAAGAACTGGTACTTACCTGAATAATTACAACTTAGGATAAAAAAAAAATTACCTTGTGGCTAGCTTCAGCAACCCTATCTTGAGACACTGCAATTTTACATATATTCAATTATATATTTATTCCATACTTACTGGTGGTCCCCGGGGTCCTGTTGGACCTGCTTCTCCCTCTGGGCCTTGTTGACCCTATTTTGGGGAGCAAATTGGAAATGCAACAAATATGAAAAGTGATTTTTTTTTTTTTTAACACATTTTTCTAGATCTCTTGTATAAGATTAATGGTTTTACCTGTTTACCAGGATTTCCCATTAACCCTGGCACCCCAGGAGGACCTCTATTACCCTATTGGACAGAAGATGAAAAACATTAGCCAAGCCAATAGTTTGCTCTTCCATTTTAAAACAAAAAAATAAGGAAAGCAATAAGGTCTAAATAAAATCAGCCTGTGTTACTTTTTGAACCTCTGCTTTATTTTTGGTGTTCTTTTAACACTGACCAAACCTTTCTATCTAATTTTTCAAAAGTCAGATTTCAGTTCCTTTGTTGTTTATGTGCTGACAAATCCCAAACAGATTTGATTGCTGCTTTCAAATCACAGAAGGCAATATCACGCCATGTAATTTCAGACAAAAAACATGTCTCAGTCTAGTTTTCTTTTTCAATTACTTACAGCCAAACTCAAACATCATTGTCTGAAACATTCCACAGTCTCAATCTCACAACATTTTTTTTAACTAAATTGGAATTGATGTTGCAATTTGGTGCTACCTAAATAGAGAAAATAACCTCTGTGATTGAATCAGCTCGAGGTGGCTATAAATACTATTCTTATTACAAATCATTCATTTCAAGATGTAGTGAGGTAGGCATGTCAAAAGCTTCCTCTAGCAATGATTTCCACAAATTTAAAAGGAAATGGCCATTTTTAGGTATTATTTAATACCTAGAATGATGAAAACCATGTCATGTAGCACAAGAATCATGAAAATGCACAGGCCAAAGCTGATTAAAAACTATATTTATTCCTTCAGCCTAAGATTTGTCTCTTAACACAAAGTACAATTTCATTGAATACTTTAGATACTTTAGCACTTTATTTGTGCTTTAGATAAGAAAGACAATACTCAAGATGTTTTACCTTTGGGCCAGGAATGCCTTTCATACCTGGAGAGCCTGGGAAACCCTGAAAGAAAAAATATGAACATTTATTTGTTGTTAAGGGAAGTGGAAAATATGTTTTTTTAAAAAAATAAAAAAAAACCCAACACTTTCTCATGCTTGAGTAGTTCTAATCCTTTTACTTGATATTGAAGCCCTTTTATTCAACAGGAATTTAATAAAATTCAATTGTATTCAATTCAATTTTATTCAAAAGCTTAAATTCTTTCTTTTTACAAAGAAACAGACAAGAACACTTATTCTTACTTCATAAATTGCAGAAGGAGCATGGATAAGTGAGGAATTGTGACTTTTTCTGTCTTAGGTTAGAAATATATGCTTGTCCCATTATATTGAGACTGGAGGTGCAGAGTTTGATACCTTTGGACTTTTTCATTCCCTCCTCACTTCTCTGCAACAGCTCATAGCAAATGTGCTTTTACCAAATTGTCTTCCAAGCTTAAGAGTTCACCTACTATTACAGATTTATGTCCAGTTCTGCTTTAAAACATCTCCTTCACTGTTCCTCAGAGCAACTACTCCTATAGCAAAGTGCTTAAAGAGGTTTCTATTTAGGTTTTGACAGTTGGTACAGTTTTCAAATGTAGTGCATGAGGATTGCCTCCTGAAGGAGCCCATAAAGCATTAGATGCCCTATAAGCTTACCACAGGGGATACACTGGAGACCTCCAACCCACCCACAGAAAGAAGCATGAGCATGATGCATTCCAGATGTCCTGAGCCAGCAGAATACCAAAGGATGATTGTTCATGGAAGGTATGTTAGACTAGCAGCTCAGCTTTTCCTGCTCCGCCTGGGAATAGTTTGGCCCTAGTCAATAGAATGAGACCAGCCCTAATTGTGGGGTCACACCATAGTATCCACGGGGTCTCAGGCAGGAGAAACAGGAGAAGAGCCACATCCTGGTCACAAATGTTTTGTGAGGCCAATTTCCCCACAATGACATCATAAGGAGATCTAGACTTTTGTGCAGTTTTGCATACCCATAGCAGAAATTCCCCTTACATTACACATACTCCCCCCTGGGCCTTTTGCTTAAATTTGCACTGGAAAATCTACTCCAATTTCAAATTTACTCCAATATCAAAATACTTCACTGGAAATTTACTCCAATATCAAAGCCATATCAACCTATGCACAGCCTTTCTATGATTTGAACTGAGCCTACCTTCCAGAGGTAAAATACTTACTGGCAGTCCCTGGAGCCCTGTATCACCTGGAGCTCCAGGTTTCCCCGGTTCACCCTGCAAAACATTTTAAGTTGCAATTTATGCAAATCAAACATGAGGGAGAATTTTATTTCTGGAACACAGAGCTGACATACATTTGGATTTGTAGTACAGAAATGTTAATTCAATTACCCTAATAATGTGCATAAAACCATGAGTAGCAGACACAAATTAATGAACAAATCTAGGGCAGGACCAAAGCTCAGAAATATGTCAATTGTGCCTTACTTTAGCTCCAGGCATTCCAGGGATCCCTTCACGGCCATCAACTCCTGGTAAACCCTTTAAAAATATATATATATATATATAATTGTAACTTTGAAAATATTTTGGCCAAGCTCTAATATACAAAGTAACATTAAATGGAACAAATAAAGAAATTAAATACATACAGGCTCTCCTTTAGGCCCAGGTAGGCCGTTTATTCCTCTTGTACCTTGAGGACCCTAAGAATAATAACAATATTTAAAAATTAAGCTAAAGACAATGAAATGACATTAAAAGAATGTCAACACATACTCATTCAGATACACATTATTTTGAGTTTTGCACTGTTTATATGTGATTAATGTTTGCAAGTCAACAAGAGCCAAAATTTGTCTGTGCTCACCCTTTCTCCCTTTGGACCTGCCTCTCCTAGTGGACCTCTCTGTCCTTGATCCCCCTACAGAAAAAAAAATATTTTAGAAATAAAACCAGAATAAATATCCTTTTATTTTTTAGCAAAAACTCTCAGAAAATTGAGAAGTACAATCCACATTTGGTGAAAGCAGACATCTCCAAGTCACACTATATTTAAAAATGCAGTTGCTTAAAACAGCAGCTGACAGATATATTTTAAAAAATGCTGCTCAGTCCATCACCTGAGATTTCAGGACTATCTAAGCAAAGTATACTGCACTTTTTTGTTTAACACAGAATTTCTGGCTATTCCAAGCACAAATTCCAGTGTGGAAGCAGAGAGCAGGGAAGAATTTAAGAAAAAAACCAAGCAACTAAACAACCCAAACAAATAAAACACACACACACATAATAAAAACCTCCAACAAAAATTGTGCAAATCTCCCTGTATGGGTTTTGTTCCAGTCTGACACCTGAAAACTCCAAGCCACCCTAATGCAGCTTAGGACTCAGAAGAGGTAACCATAACATACCAAGTTAAAATGGGTTCATCTACCTCAAATTCTTTGGGAACATTAAGACAGTACTGACTTGATACCACTGTAATATCATTTATTCACCTGTGGGGAATCAATAGAATTGGATTAATCAGAGGCTTTTTTGAAGTGTTTGGATAACCAACACTCTACTCACAGGTGCACCAGGAAGACCTTGGGGACCAGGATCACCATCAAGACCACGAGCTCCCTACAAAACAAATAGATAACAGAAGATATTAAAGAGAACTGCTGGAGCAGTAACAACTTATGTGTCCTGATTTGCTAGCTTCTCTACAAATGAGGGGGCTTTATAGCTCCAATTAAAAAAACCCAGAAACATTCCATTTTCTTCATTCATCTTGGTTTTTAATGCAGATATAAAAGCAAATATATTTAAATATGACAAAATATCAGTCAAAACACAACATTCAGCTCATACTCTAAAAAATCTAGGAAGGAGATAGAACTTTAAATGCTACTTCAAAAAAATCTGTGTGTCTTCTTTACATATACTATATTCTTCACCACACAATAGAATAACATCAAAATATGCAGAGAAGTCATCAAGTTCAGTGCTGCTGGTTTTTTTCACATATGTTTCAAGGAAAGAATGCAATCACTGTAAATAAATGTAAATGGAAAGAAAAATATTGTTTTAAAAAAGAATTAGAGAGAACATGGCAATTCTTTTGTCAAAAAGTTGTACTAAACACTTCAAGTAGACAAATCATAACAGAAAATGTTGGCAAATACCTCCAAAGAATTATAACATACAAAGGCCAGAAAAGCAAAAAAAAATAGTAATAGCTTAGCAAACATGTCCAAGAGGTTAGGAAGGATTGTTCATGAGAAGATTCATAATCAGGAGAAATTTGATGTTGTCTCTGAAGACAGATGATCACAAGATTTATGTGATTTATCTTCTGGAGAAGGAGACAATGGCAGGATTGCTACTTTCTACTCCTTTCAGAAATTTTTGCCATATAGATTTAACAAGATCATGAGGCTAGAAATGTAGCACCCAGGTTTGAAATAACAGACAGGAACACTTAGACAAACAGAAGGAAAATTGTCAGCAAAGTAAGAGCCCACATAATAATTAATCCCACTGGCAGAAATTTAAGACACAGACATGTCAAAGAAAGAATGGAAAAAAGAACAAACTCTCAATAAAAACTCCTGACAAAAAACTGGGATGATGGAAGTAAAAGGCTTTAGGAAGACACAAATCACAGGAGAGACTACTTAATAAATTTTAGCTCTAATTAAAATTTGCTATAGTTTATAATTGTTATAACTTACTATCTTTATAGCTACAGACTTGCATACATGCAAAACTACCATAAATGCAAGGATTGGGAGAAAGGAGTGAAGAGTACATGGCCTTCATTAGTTACAAGGACTGCGCTATCTTCTTCCTAACAAGAAGTACAGCAGCTATGGAAATACAGCTGGCAGGAGAGAGAAAATCCAGGGGAAATAAAGAAGCAGCCTAAATAAGCTTTTCAAACATTCAGAGGTGTACATTTATTTATTTTTTTTAATATAGGCCATTTTCTAGAAAGAAAGGTTAATACTCACTTTAGTACCTTTGGGTCCCGTTATACCAGTTATACCTCTGATGCCTAGAATGCCCTGAAATAGAAAAGTATGCTCAAATTATACTTAATTCTTTTCATCAGAACTGTCCTAGTTTTCAGACAGAAGACTCAAGAGTTCTACACCCTTTCTTTATGATTATTTAACTATTTTCTTAGTATTAAAGGAGAAATCCTGCTACTGGTGTATTAGAATTCTTAATTTATATGGTAATTTGTTTTTTACTAATTTTAGAATTTTTAAAAGAATAACAAAACAATCAGGCTGCATTATAAAACCAAAAATATACCATTAGGGCTGAAAAAACTCACTGATTTTTCTTCTTGGTCACCTCAGAGTGGAAGCATTCTCACCTGCAGCTTGTGTGAAAGGAATATGTGATGGCCAAATTTGCAGAAGTGCTAAGTTGTCTTAAGTGGGGGATTGGACAGATGAAGGAGATTTTACAGAGCTCCAGAGGCAGATAAAACAGGGCAAGGTTCCTGAGAGTACAGGTGCTAAGTTTATATGTCCACTAAGAGGCTAAATTGAGTAGACATCCTAATGCAGCAGGATGTATCATAACTATCATCACAGCTGTCATCACTTTCCTTCAAAATTATCTTGTGGGAAATTAGATAGATAAATTCTTTGGAAAGAGGAAGAGAAATCTTCCTCTTCCCACGAGACTGACGCTAGCTGAGATGTCTCCTCCCTGCAGAGACCAGACCCTCAGACATAACATGCTTGTCCTGCAACTGCTTCATTGAAACAGCTGCAGGCACTTCCCCACAGTGTAGGCAAACCCACTCCTTGAGCAGACTCTACATTGGCAGCCTCTACTTGCTCCTCACAAAGGTAGGTGCAATCTTGTACCAAACATTTGAAGCCTTGTCAGCCTAAAAGGTGGGGAAAATCATGATAATGCAACAATCACTACAGCAGCCCCACAAGGGAGATGAACTCAGTTTAATCCTGCTTCTAAGATCATAGGCACACTGTGGTATCCAATACTTTCTACCAAAAGCAACACTTCTCCCAGGGGTGGCTGTCTTATGCAAATCTTGTCAGTGGAATATGTTGGATTGCAGGTGCTGTGGTGGAGGCTGGTTACTCAACCCCTCTCATTCATTTATGTAAGGAAAATATAAGAAGATACAGCAGAGTCTTCAGGCTCTCCATCTGTGCCTCTAAAGCATTGTCTGTCCTTTTTCACATGGAAAAGCGATGTGATATCGCTTCATGCATATTATGAATCCTCAATATTAATAAAAAAATTATTTTAGAGTTTGTTTGTATGGTGGCCAATTGGTGATACAGTGAAATGTTATAAGTAGCACATTAAAAAAAAAAAGGAACAGAAAGTCAATCTTCAATTGTTTCTTAATTCTGCTGTGTTATTTTCACAGTGATTGAAGAACTTTACCAAACTGAGTAAAATGAATTGGTCCCCACAGGCCTTTCAGACAGCAGAAGCTGCCTCTTACACAAGTACTTTGTCTGCACCAGGGCCTCAGGGGTACTTTTTCAGGATCAACCAGAAGGAATGCACCCTTTCCTTTACTTAGTCTGTTCTTTATATTTTCCTAGTTATACAGTGTTTATGTTGTCATACATTTACATGCATAGAGAATTTTGTAATTTAGCATTTAGATGTCATATGCATTAAGGTAAGCTCCTGGACACCAGTGGCATTAAATAAATACTTTTACACCTAAGGAAAAAGCATGAGACCCCATCAAAAAATAAACCACAGAAATTAAAGGTGTTATGCCTGTTTCTCCTACCTAGAATGACCCCTTTATTCTGTTCCCTAGTCCTTTCCAGCCATGGTAACCATAAGAGCTCCTCACAAGGGAACAAGCTGAGGAGGTATGTGTCAGAACAAAGCACAGTGAATCAGGACAAGAAAGTAACTAGGTATGATTGAAGGATACTTCTGTTGCAAGCCAAAAGGCAAAAAAAACTTCAGGGAATAAAAAACCTGCTCTTCAGTGGTTGCAACTTCATCCTCAAATCTTAGCTAAATCTGAATTTCACAGCTGATTGTGTTTCAAACACAGTGAAGTCCGAGTCATCAAAATTATGAAAAGGAAGGTGAAGGGAGAAAAAATCCAACTACTTTCACAAGCTAAGCACAACACAAAATTTAGGACATGAAATAGTTTTTAAAGTTAGCCTTTCCATAGAACTATGTGGAGCTTTGTGACAAGCAATAATGTAGGTTTTGGAAGGACTTAAATAATTCTACTTTGATTCATAGACAATATGGCAGAATAAAGAGGAAAGGTGCATGCAATTTTTATAATATCCATTTTCTTACAACAATAAGAGAAAAAGATATGTCATTATGAAGAAAATTAGTAGCACTTTAAAAGGAAATACTTTACTGGAGGGCCTTGAGCTCCCACTTCACCACTGGGTCCTTGGTCCCCTTCTTCACCCTGGGAAAGCAAAAGGAGTACATCTGTAGCCAATCCATACCATGCATATTACTCTGTCAATGTATGGGGTGCATTTCCTACTTAATGTTTTCTGCCACCATGTCCTGCTTGAAAGAAACCCAAATGAAATCACACCACTTCCCCAGACAGTTACTCCTTCAGGTTGACATTCCATTCAATTATTACTCAAAAGGATGATTTTAAAGAAACCTCAGTATAGAGAATAATGATATTTTACCCTTAACCCATCATTCCATTTTTTCTTGACGTTAATGTTTTTAGGATTTCATCAGGTGCGTAGTGAGAGGGCAAGGAGTAAAAGGTACCAAATGCACAAGGGGAAATTTAGGTTATATAGTAGGAAGAAATTCTTCACTGTGAGGTTAGTGAGACACTGGAACAGGTTTCCCAGCAGGGCTGTGGATGTCCCAACCCTGGCAGCATTCAAGGCCAGGCTGGGTAAGGTACTGAGAAACCTGATCTAGTGAGAGGTGTCCCTGTCTATGGCAAGAGGTTGGGACAAAATGATCCATAAGGTCCATTCCAACCCTTTCACATTCTATGATTCTATGATTTCTTGTTCTTCCAGACTAAGAGTGCAAAATTTTTCTCTAATATTTTTTCCTGTGACATTGAAAAATGGACCAAGGCAGTGAAAATCTGAAAATTTCTTGCAAACATTTCAGTATTAAGGAGGTTATATAATAAGTAAAATTCAAATAAAACACCTTGAGAGAGCTAACATTTCTGTTTTCAAGATGAATCAGACTTGGCCTCTGTTTATGGATTTATACTGTGTCCTTTCCCTCTCCAATATATTTTTGCCTCTCATTCTTCATGTACATACTCATCTGTGCAGCTAAACAGCTAACATGGTAAATTCAGGGAATTATCCTGAATTTAAATACTTGAAATTTTTTCAATTAATAAACTTAGCTTTAATTTTCCTTGTAAATTTTATAATAAATTGAACAATCAAAATAAAAAGCAAGAGAAGTATGATTTGTACATCATAATAAATACGTGGTACAGGTGAATAAAGACATGTGCCTTTGGTTACTCTGGAGCACTATGATATGTAATATCACTTCATGCATTCTGTTAAAACAATTAATACTTAGAAGTATAATACTATTTTTGAAACAAGGCTAAACTACTATTAGTTTGCTAAAAACAACAGTTTTTTCCTCTTTTTTTTATTTTACCTTATAACCTTGTTTTCCTGGTTCACCAGACTCTCCTTTTGAGCCTTTTTGCCCCTAAAATAAACACAGAAAACAAAACAAATAAATAAATAGAGACTATTCAAACTTAAAATACAGTTTTCCAAAACAGCCATAGACTGCTGAGAGCTGTCTTGCTGTTCCCTGTCAAACCCCATTCCTTCCTCACATGTCTAGAAAACACTATATATTAAGTACCATGCTCAAAATATCTGCTTCTGGATCTAACAAGTCTGTATTTCTATGCAGGTTAGTCTTACATTATCCCTAAAAATTTCCTGAGGCCAACAGTATTTCTAGAAACCAGCAAAAAATATATTAAAATAAGTCATTGCTAAAATGAGACTCAAAACATGTTAATTTCAATTTAGTATGTTACAGGCCTCCCAGGAAGAGAAAAAGAAGTCAAAAAGATAAAGGATCTGGGGGAACATTCAGGGTTTCTGGAGTCAGACCACAAATGACCCAGGAAGTGAATGAAGCGATCCTTCACATACTCTCATCCTTTCAGGACCACACATAAATTTTATGAATTTGAAGATCAGAGGAGCAGCAAGAGATTTCAACATCAAGAGGTTATTTTGGCAGTCAAGAGTTGAATAACCATAAGCAACCACACTGATGCAAACTTTTTTGAAATTAGGAGTGAAATTACCTTTTTCAAGTCAGTAATTACCCTCCCTAGTGCCTTGAGATAGCATCTCTGGAAGGAATGCTGGAACAAACAAGTTTTCTTACCTTCATACCCATTAAGCCAGCATGTCCTGGACGGCCAGGAGGACAAGCACTGGGACACTGGAAAAGCATTCACATAGTTACTACCACATGGGCTGAATAAGATTGTCTGAGATTACTTAAAAGGAAATAAAAACATGGGCAATAATCTTACCAACACGTCGCCATCTTGCAGGCCAATTGTTCCCTAAATTAAATTAAATTAATCAAAGTCAGCAATACAGAAATCACCAGACATGAGTCATTAGGCAACACAGTGGTTAGACAAAACTACTATCTAAACCTTGAATCAGATATACAATCAACCAAAGGATCTCTCACATGAGAAACACCTTAACTGTAGGATTTGATTATAGGACTGCAGGTCCTATCCTCTAACTTAGAACAACTTTTCAAAAAACCTCGAAGTATTTCTCTTGCTTTTTAAACTACCTCAAATATACTTTCTGTTAAATATGGAACAAATATCTCCAAACCCCATTAGTTTCCTACAGAAACCGAGGCAATTTCTATAAAAAGAATAACTTAGTGCATTCACCAAAAGATTCAGGTCTTTACAGGGAAAATTATTTTTATGGGGAAAACAGTCTTCCCAAAAGAATTGGTAGATGGCAGTTGCAATAAACTAGACATCAGTGTACAATGAGATGGACTCAGTGGGGGGAAGGCCTTTTCTCATATTAAATCAAATACTTGATGGAAGCTAACAGGAGGTTTATGAGGCACAACAGGGAGAAAGATTATTTCACAGCAGCAGCTGGATTCTCTGAAACCCTGAGGGAGGGAGCATGCTGTTTCAGAGAAAAGCACAGGAGAGCTTAAGGAATGAGCTCCTTAAAGAATGGTCTTCTTATATGCAGGAGGATTTTTAAAAAGCCAAGAGTATTTGAGTCCATAATGTTATCAACTGGAGTGGGACTGTGGCACTTCAGAAACCTAAAACAGATAAAACCTTAAGGAACAGAAGCACTATACACCACTATTCAGAACTCATTTCCACTTGTTTCCAAACTACTCTTCTCCAATTTACCAATCATGTTTTTTAAAATGCCTCCATCAATTCTCTGGCAACTTTCATGAAAACAAGAAACATGGCATAAATAAAGCATATGTATGTAGGGTCTGTCCCTAAAGAGTGGGGGGAGGAGGCTCCCATCAGAAGAACAGTACAGCTTTTAAAAAGGCATTAGCACAACATCCTCCCCAGAAGTTTGCATTTCCCAGCACCCAGACTGAGAGGTGTCTGCCAAACTCTGAATTTTATTTCTCTGGGCAGGTATTTGCCACAAGACAAAGGCATAACACATACCCCTCCTTCCAAGAGGTTAAAAAAAGGTAACTGCTCGCCTGGAGAGGCAAAGCATTGATGTAAGGCTTTCTTCTATTCCTTGCAAGCAGATCTGACTGCAAGAAAGACATTAGAACTCAACCCATCTGGAAGCATGTATTTCTGTCTCATAAGCCAAATATTTTTTTCTTCTCCTAACAGAGAAAAGCCCACCTCTACTGAAGTATGAATACCAGTGAGGCCCATCAAAGACTACATTTACAGCATTACGATTCACAGGGGAATTTAGAACCTGTGTATTTGCAGTTTACAGAAGTGGGAAGGCATCATGACAGAAGTTAGACCATTTGCATTTCAAACTACATTTTTGTAACCATAAAGAGTGGAAACTTGCTTTCTAAATGGAAGATCAAAATCTTTCTGATATCCTAAAGTCAGTATTCAGCTGTAGAACTTGGGCAAAAGTTTTGTTCAAGCAGCAGCAACACAAAATTCAGATGTAAACATATTAAACATAATCACTTACTGGAGGACCTGGAGGTCCTGGTAGCCCTGGTGGTCCTCTTTTTCCTGGATCTCCCTTAAAAAGGGTAAAATAGTTTAGCTGATTGATAGTAATAATAACAACCAGTCATCACATATTCAGACAACAACAACACAACAGTAGTGAGAAATTAGGTGGCTACAGAAGGACAGAACAGGTAGGCAGTTAGAACATCAACCCACAATACAGCTCCCAGAACAGAATGGGAAAACTATTTTTTTTTAGTAGAAAGGCAGACAAGTTGTGAAATAGGAGTCACAAGAAAACAAAAACATTTTTTCCTGCTTTAGAAATCTGTAACATGTGACCACAGGATGCACTCCTGCTCTATAAATGCTATTAACTTATGAACTAAAGGAATTCTAGTAACTGGCAAAAGTAGAGAAAGGAGAAAATCAGAGCACAAGATGAATTTACCAAGTTAGAATTTTTTCCTGATTGTGAAATTTTGATGCTGAGCACTCTCATAAGTAAAGACAATGTGGAACCAATGCAAATTATTTTTTCTGAAGGTTTGTAGTTGAAATAAATTTAATAATTGGGCAGAGACTTTTAATTTAATATTACAATTTCAATATTACGTTTTACATATCATTAAGTCATAAATGCAATAAACAAGATTAATATAGAAAAATTATTAATTAATTCTCAAAACATGAGAGTTATAGAGCCATTCCTTTCCATGCAATGCATAATTACATTGTGGGACTCATTATTATGTGTTATGGAGGCTTAGAATATAAATGGATTCAGAAGCTGACTGCATTAATGGAGGATAGGCTCACACGCTGTTTTTAAAAATGCATCACAGATGCAATTTCTGATTCAGGCAGTCTCTGAACTACCAACTAACTGCCAGAATGTGTGACAGTAGACAGAAAAATGCCATTTTATAAATATCCTGTACACCTCCCTTGGTATCCATTCTTGCCCCTCCTACAGACAAGACAGCGGGCTAGATGAATCACCTTCCAAAACAAATTTGCACTTTTTAATATTCTTTTTCAATTCATTTTTATAACTGCATTAAAAAGTAGGTTTTATTAAACAAAATTTTAATGCTATTTCAGATTTCAAGCAGAAAAGTTGGTTTCAGATTCCATTTCAGTAAAGTGTGGTGTCAAAATATGACAGTGTGGTGAACTTGAGTGCACAGTTCAGCACTAAGGTCAGTAGATGTAGCCACACTTAAAGTGAGACTGAGGAGAAATACTGAATTTCCATGTTTGTTTTCCAAAACAAATCTGTAAAAAATCAGTAGTTTAAGTAGCTAAAGTTTACATTTCCTGTATCTCTGTCAGGTCTGCTTTTTGATTTCAGGTTTCCTTGAATAAGAGAAGTAGAGTATGGGACACTCTGAAACATTTTATTCTAATCTGAAAGGCGGCCCTGCCTTTGTGCTACTCATTGTTCTTATTGCTGATTGAGTTTCAAACATAACCCTTCTTCTACTAGTGATCACTGCAGAGGAATTAAAAAAAAAAACAACTTGTGAAAATTCTGTGATAGTCCAAATAGTATTTAGATAGCCCATTTTTTTTTTTTAAGTACCTTCTAGCAATTTAGTAAATCTGCATTTTCAGCAAACATTGTAGTACTTACAGGTGGACCAGCACGACCTACTTCCCCAGGAAGTCCTGCTGCACCAGCTGGACCCTACAAAAACCAAGGTAAAAAGTATTTTTATACCATATAATACCTATGCAACAAACATCCAAGCACTGAGAACATGTAATTCCCAGAAACAACAAACTATGCCTCCAGACACCAATATTCTTGCCCTACATACCACAGACCTACACAGCCTCAGGGGTAGCTGAAGAAAACACACATAACAGATATAGAACATCAGGATTAAAACCATTTCTTTTTTAACTGGATTACTTTTAATTACAGTATTATAGCTTCATTAAATATTCAAACAGATTCATTGAAGAGTATATTTATGAATTGTAAAATTGATACTTACAGGTGGTCCAAGAAGGCCCTTGCCCTGCAAAATATGAATAAAAGATCAGAATTATGGGGAGGGTTCCAAACCTAGTAAAGCTGGTCTCCAAGAATAGAGTATTTCAGATTAAAAAGGTGTAAAAAACCCTCATTTGATTCTGCAAAATCATTTTGAAAACTTGTTTAACTATTGTTAAAATCAATTTTATTATTAGGTAATCAATATCAGTAGAGAAAATTAAATTACTGATTAACTTACCTTGCAGTATCATTACACATATTTATAAATATATGTATACTTCCACAAAGGAATGAAGACTTTAAAGGCTTTGTGTTTATGTAATTACAAGTACCACAATAAATATATCTATGCTATAATAATTTCCTTCTAAAGGTACATTTGAATTTATAATAAAAGTGAACTTTTCTCCCCACAGTGCTTCCCTGAGACCTAAATCCATTAAACTTATGGTTTCTGGTAATCAGAAAGAACTCCAAACTTCTCCTCTTTGCATTTTCCATCAGTATAGCTCTGAATCATTTTACTGAGAAATATTCGAAATACAAATGTGTTTCTGCCTATTTGGATGATATACTCCCTCTAAGAAAACAGATTCCTTGTTCTTGCGCTATTAAAGTAAATTGAAAATTTTATGGAGAAAGGTATCTTTGATATGTTTGAAACACAAAAATATAAAATCCCAAATACACTTAAATATTCAGGAGATTTGACGTAATAAGGCACCTGGGCTGAATGCGAGTAAAAAGGCCACAGAATATCAATCCAGGCTTGTATTTGCAAGGCTGTTTAGAAAGTCAGTATAACACAGGGAAAACTTCAAGCACTCATCAGAATCATTCCATTTTAACCATTTAATCCACGGAAGAAAGAAAGCTTGCATAGCCTACATAATCCCTTTGCTATTGCTTCACATTTCCTTGCTACAATTCCTCATATCGTGCGTATCTACATTTGACTATACAAATCAAACTTCCACTGAATCACATTTTCAATATTATAATATACCCTGACTGGAAGAAGGAAACCACCTGCTTGCAGGTCTCATTGGAGTACCCCTTCCTAACACACCCCCTAACAGTGGCAGGGAAGGTCAAGGATACCAAAAGAAGCTACAGCTACTGTGTCCAGCCCACACAGTGACCCAGCAGAAGGCTGTCCCCTCCTCTGACTGCTCCCCTGCATCTCCTCACCTTCCCAATTGAGACTGCAAAAAGCAAGGACTCTCCCCCAGCAATCAATGCCTCCTCACACAGCTTCTCCACCCTTCTGCCCATGAACTCCTTACAAGCAGATCAAGTTGCAAGGCTGGGAGCAGCTCCAGAGCAGTCATCAGTAAGGAAATAAACAGAGCAGTTCCTGTCCCAACCAGCTGCCCATGTTCCTTCCTCTGTGTCCTGAAGAGAAAGGCTCTCCACACAGCCTGGGACCACAGCCTTACACGCCCAGGTGCCTGGTGCCTGCTATGGGTGTTCATCGGACCCACGGAACACAAGGGGTGCACAGACCTGGGCAGAAATCCAGAGTCTGTAATCCCCTGCCTCAGGGGCTACCCTGTAATCTGGTAACCAGCCCTGCCATCCACCACAAAGATACACACAGTCCTCCCCATACGCCAAATGTTAAAACCACTAACAAAATATCAGCTCACAGAAAAGTTAGAGGGAACTAAAAGAGAGAATGGAGTATCAGCCCCAGGTCCATCTACCAGGACAGGTCAGAGACATCGGCATATTTAAATTACTTGAATAAAAAAATCACTCTAATTAATCACAAAAATTCTAAGAACTTTGTAAGCCTGTCATTTTAAAGATTATCCGCTAAATGAGATGAGACAAAGAGAATAAATTAAAACAAAATTATGAAGCAGGAAAAAATGTGCAAAAAAAGGGGATGATAACTAAAGACTGCCAAGATACATTCTGGGGAAGGTGACAGAAGCAGAGAAGCAAAGGCTGTATATAAAACTTTATGTCCTTAATATTCATTCTTGAAGATACCCAGAAGTTCTAACTTGGCTGATAAATATCACTAGAGGAGCATGAAGAACAGTGATAATAATTTAAATCTAATTAGTGCTGTACCCAAGGCTTCTGATTTTCTGTTTGCACTGAGCATTTTAATAACTTAAGCAAGAGGTTTTGTGGAAAATGAAGTCTTTGGATAACTATCCAGGGACTACTCCAATTGCAAAAAGCCACTGACAATATTCAAAGTAGTGCATAATTACACCTAAGCACTCAATCATGTAGGCAGTATGCAGACTCATAATTGTGCTCACTATGTTTCTGGTAAATGAGGTTTCATGGATCAAACCAAAGAAGTACAAAGGTTAAACAGCCCCATTACTTCACATTTGTAGTAAGAGCTTCTCCAAAATTCTCTGAATCTGAAAATTAGAACCATTGCACTCTGACACTACCATTCCTACTTGGGTTTTTTTTTTTGTTTGTTTTGTTTTCATGGTAAGTGGGTTGTATTGGAGATATACAGGGGGTCTTTTGCTTGTTTTGGTAGCAGGGTTGTGAGATTTGTTGTTGTTAGTTTGGTTTTTCGCTTTTGTGGATTTTGTTAGGAGGTATAATCTCACTAAAGGTCTGATGACCAGTGCTGGCCATCTTCCAGTAGCTGCAAAACTTTTTCAGCAGCATACAGCCATTCTTCAGAGGGAAAACTGCATTTATACAGGCTTTCCTAGGAGATTTATTTTGATCATTAATCTCTCTATACGGACTCAGCACATATGGGTTAACAACCATGGAGCTACAAAAGCAATCACTAGGCTTCTTCCTAACATGTGAGGTCTAAGGATAAATCTTAATAAATACAAGGGTAATGACATGAGTTGACTAAGTATATCCATCTTTTCTCTTCTTTTAAATAAATTGGATTTCCCTTTTCCTCATTATAAATATTCCTGTGGATTCACCTGAAAATACAAGCTTCAGTTGCTTATTAAGCAGAGGCAGAGCAACTCCAAAGGCAATCCCTACTGAGGTTCACTGAAGCGTTATCACCTTAAGACTGAAAGTCTCAGGGCAAACAAAAGCACTCAGCTTTGAACAATGGTCCAAAATCTTACTAGATTTATTGCTTTTACAGTCTCAAAATATGGTGACGAAAGTCCTGCTGCTCTGAAAAGAATCAGCATTCTACCTTGACAAGTTAGTCTAGTTTTCTCTTTCCCAAATTTACATCTCTACCTCCAAATTGAAATTTACCCTCTTTATACATGTTTTATGCACCCACTTATTCTGGAGGGTCTGATATTAATCATTCTTGTAAATTATATTCTGTAAATGGTGAGCTAAAATCATGTATGTTGCCGCTGAAGATGAATCGATCACACGGACACAGGTTGAGGTGTGGTGAAAGGAAGAGAAAGTTTATTTTTCTTCCCAGGATTTATAGGTTTCTGAGCACCAGGCCAGGGATTGGATGGTCAGGATAACACTTTCCCACTGCACTGGCCATGAGAGATGTCCATCACAAGACACATATCTATGTTTACAGTTACTGTCCTGGGAAAGTCTTCAGAAAACTATGTCAGCAAGCTCAGAAGCTGAATTTTCAGGGCAACACATGTATGTTAACCAAGTATTTCCATAATTCAGTTTTATTTCTCCATTTTTTCCTATCATAGAATGGCCTGGTTTGGAAGGGAAATTAAAGACCACCTAGCCATGAGTAGGGACACCTTCCATTAGACCAGGGTGCTCAGAGCCTCATCCAACTTGGCCTTAAACACTTCCAAGGATGGGGTGTCCAAATCTTCTCTGGGCAATCTGTTCCAGTGCCTCACCACCCTCACAGCAAAGAATTTATTCCTAATATCTAATCTAAACCTACTCTCTTTCAGGTTGAAGCCATTTCCCCTTGTCCTGCCACCACATGCCCTTGTAAAAAGTCCCATTTGTAGGGTCTCTTTGGGTACTGGAAGGCTGCAATGAGGTCATCCCCAAGCCATGTCTTTTCTAGGCTGAATAATCACAATTTTCTCAGCCTTTCCTCACAGGATAGGTGGTACACCCCTCTAATAATTTTTTTCACCTATCACTTGAGTAAACAAACCCAAAAGAGGGGAAATAAAAAAAAAAAAAAAAAGAAAAGCACTTCAGTCTACCTAGATCCTACCTCAGTTCTGCCATTTTCTGTGACTAAATTTTACTCACATATTGAGCCTACAGAGCAGCCAGCTCAAATATTACCTATTTTACAAATTTTCAGGTAAGAATGAGCATCCATGAAAATTAATTGTCTATAAAGTGATTCCTCTTGAGTTTGAACATGTCTATAATGTCAGACCTTCAATAATAACTTTATAACTTTATAATTTTCTCTCTGGCCAACTATCAAAATACTTGTTAAATATAAATTTAATGACAGTTAATAGGAAAAGGTCAAAAATACAAATACACAAGGAGTGTTGTACTAGAACACCATAACTCTTCTATTTAATTTAAATAATTTTTTCAAATTGAATCTAATTTTTAATTAAATTTTTATTATATGCCATCATATTATAATTTATTCTAGTTATCTTGTTCCATTATTCACCTTCCTTGAAGTTTTTTCCTAAGCTAAATTCCTACATGCCAACCATCATCACTTCTTCTACCAGCAAAACTCCTAAAAGTCACAATTATTCTCAGCCCCTAAAAATGGATGTTAGATCCATCTGCATACCAACTGAACAGTACTCCTTGCATATCCTCTCTCATATTTTGGCCTGTTTTCATACAGAACTGCAAAACAGCACAAGGAGTCTCACAGAATTTACACTTCAGTGGTGACATTTAAACACATGGCAAAAAGTTGAAAACAGGAATAACTGTAGACTCCTATGTGCAAATGAAACATGGGCTCTCTCATCTCCATAGCATTTTCACAAAGAGATGGAAGAGAATGGTGTAAATCCAAAACTTGGGACTACATCACACATGCTCTTTTCTTTTCTACGGCATACAAACCAAACATAACCTTCCAGTAATATTTGCACACTTAGATATAAAGACAAAATGGTTCCTTAAAGTACTACTTTTGTAACTTATGAGTTCTTTGAAACTTCAGAAATAGTTTTGGGTTTTTCTTCATTATGTTTAGTGGTAAGAAGCCTTCATAATAATACTTAAGGTGTAAAAATCCTCCTTGTATGCTAAATGCACTACTTACTGGAAGTCCACGAGCACCTGGCAGTCCTGGCTCCCCCTTTAAAAGATAAAAAATGAGTTTTTAGGAGGCATTAACATCAAGTTTTACAAACAATATTCAGGAAGATGTTCTCTCACCTTTTGGAGGGCATCATTTAGTGGACATAGTGTGCAAGTATTATTCACTTCATTAATGCTATGCTGATTTCAATAAGACTTGATAGAAAGGAAAGACCTTCTCAGTATTAAAATGCTACAGCCTCTGGCCTTTTATTCCCCCATGTCGTAGTTACATGCTTGTAACTGACTTCTGATTTATACTCCATTTGATGATGATGAAGTCAGGTTCCACTGTTCTGGTTCCCACTGCATATTGCATATTGTGTCATATTACAATGACACAATTGTAACACCATATGGAAAGGGCCTCAACTCTACTGAAGATGCTCAGCCTTAATTTCAACAATGTAATGCCAGCCACCATTCCTTCCTGCTGGCTGTGGGAATGGAAGCTTCTTTGTGCTGTGTGAAAAAGGGCCAGTATGTACATAATCTATAGGTATCTTTGGATTGTAAGAAAGGCTACAGCATCTTATTAGTCACATAGAGACAAACAAAAATGCTGCTTTAAAAAAAATCCATAATTTCATGCATAATTTTGTTCCTACCTTCTGTCCTTTTGGTCCTGGGGCTCCCCGTGAGCCATCAGGTCCTGTGAATCCCTTTGGAAGTAAGATATACAATGTTAATGCAAGGTTTATGTGTTTTTTTCTTAATCACAACAGTAAACATTATAAACCATAGAAAAACAAAGGTATTAAATGAAATTAGTAACTGCAATAGACTTGCAATCCAAGTATTTATTTACTTGTACAGATAGAACTGCACAAGTTGAAAGTACTAGCTTCTGATGACAAACATCTGTGCCTGTGATATGTATCTTCAAGAATTATTTAGTTAAATCACAATTAAATTAACCATTTGATCTCACATGATCCTATTTCCTCTTAATGGGAGATTACTGAATTTTTTTCGTGGCCAAGGTTAAGAACAAAAACTCTCAGTGTTGTCCATGTCAGATAAGAATTTCATTGACAACACCACCACAAAACAAAAAAAAACAGAAAGCTGCCAGGCTGAATTTAAATCTACCCTTTTAATTTGTCTATCTGGCTAAAATCAGAAACCAAACATGATATTATAAGCAGGAATTAATTTTGAGTTCTTATTTTTCCTTTTATTTCATTTTGTAGTCAGCTTATATGGCTTAGAAATTTCCAGATATCCAGAAGAGCTTTTCTTTTACGTTTATCTAATACTTTTATTTTTTTGGTACACTTCCAGCAATTCACTGTTCACACAATTGTTCCAACAATTTGGTTTTGAAAGCTTACATGATCATTACAAGCAATTACTGTACAGTACCTTTTTACAGTCTATTAAACTTGACACTGAAATAATTTTTGACATAAAATGAGGTTTAAATAGTCAGAACTGCCTCACCAATTAAACACAGAAGGTACTATAAATCTAATTAAACCAGTTTAAAGTTGAACACACAGTGGAAGCACAATAAGGTCTCACTCTTTTTCTTTGAGTAAAAATAAGAAAGTTTCAATATTTCAAAAGATTGTACTCTGGTACATTTCCACTCATCCACTAATATATATGGGACTATATAAGTGTGAACAGATACCAAAAGCTGAGATGAGTTTAGTGTGTTCTGTTTCATGGGATTGTGTTCCCATGAATTTTGGCAAGGAAAATAAAACTATGCCTTAAGTCAAAATTGTAAGAGGCGATGATTTTTAAATATCTGCTTATACGGTTTTGGCATGTACAAGTGGGTTGTGGGCCTGTACTGTTTTCAGGAAAAGTGAAGTGGTATGAGATGTCACTCACAAAGCCCATTTCCTCTTACAGGTATGAAACTGGAACAGTTTAATTAAAGATTCTTCCAGCTCCATATCCACTAAATCTCTTCCCAAAAGCAAATTAAATATTAACCTCTAACAGCATTGCAACATTAAATAGATACTAGGCTTTTTCATTTATATAATTTGCAATACCCTCTAACACACTGTTTATGGTATATAATCTTTATTTTTGGCATTTTAGATTTTTAAAATTTAAAAGCTTATGTAAATTAAACATAAGCTTGCCTACTTCTTGGCATAACATCTAAGTACTAATGCAGCAATCTTGCTTCATAGCAAGAAATGCCTTCTAACAGAGCTCTCAAGAGAGAAATATGAAGTTCCCCAAAAATTTGAAGGCATTTTTATTGACGCATATTTATTCCAGAGGCATGACTTAACAGGCCATTAACACTAGATGATGTTGAAACTTTGATCTTCTCTGCTATTTTCCAGGATGGGAAGATGCATCAGCACATCCTCCTCACGCCCTCTCTGCCCTGCTCTGCGACCAGAGGTGGCTTCCAGAGCCACAGCACGAGTGATCCCTGCAACCACTGCCCAGCGCCCTCTCCAGGGCCGGGTGGCAACACCGACAGTCCTTGTGCTTTATCTCTTTATTCTTGGGGGAAATCCAAAAAAAAAATAAAAATTGGGGGATGGGGGGGAGGAATTTTAGAAAATCAAGTGTACTCACATCAGCTCCCGGCTCTCCAGGCAGCCCAGGGGATCCTGGTTTGCCTGCATCCCCATCTGGACCCTTTGGGATTTAAATGGACAGTTAAGCATGTTTCACAGAGGGAAGCAGAAGCAAAACTCAAAACTTCTTCTCTCACAGAAACAAATGAAAAGTAGTTGAAATGACTTACCGGTGGACCAGGGGGGCCCTTTGGGCCTCTCTCCCCCTACCAAGATATGAAAAGGAAGGTATTAGTCAGAATTGCAACAACCTTCTATGCTTCTTCATGAAAATCACTGATTTACAGATTATCAGACATAATCCTGAACTGACTCTTATTGTAGAAAATAAATACTAAATCCACATAATTTCTACTACAGACTAGCAGAAATCATCACAGAAACTTCTGACAGGAATCAAGGAAACCTACATAGTAGCTCCAATGAAGAATAACACCACAAATCCTTAACAGGATTCAGTACGAATGATTCTATGTAATCCCTTTTGAGATTAGATTTACAAAATCTCTACACCCCATTAATGGCAGATAACCACAGATGATGCTGATTACATAAAATAAATGATCCTGAGTTTTCTATACCAAAGATAATCTGAAAATCTGCTTTCTCCCCTCACTCCAGCCCACCACAGAGCATGAGACCCATCAATTCCTTCACATATCTGCAGCCAAACTCAAATTCCTGAAGATCAAAGGCTGACAGACAGCACAGATACACCTGGAGGCATTTCCTATTTCCTAGACAGGGCATGGGAAACACTTACATCAATGCCATCAATACCGGGAACTCCTGGTGGCCCTGGAGGACCTGGGGGGCCTGGTGGACCAGGGGGGCCTCTCTGACAAGGAGTGAAAAAAAATGAGCAATTAGAACCTGACAAACCACAGAGCTATTCTGGGGGGACCAGCAAGTTAGAGGCTATGGGTTAGTCAGGAGGTCACAGCTGTGACAAGGACCTGCATCCTCACTCCATGTATATCACACGGATACCCTATTTTGACTGTCACTATGAGGATTGGCAACACTGCCCTCACCAAAGGAACGGGAAAGGTGTTAAACCTCCCTCCCTGGGCCCAGCCACTGTGCCCACAATGCTGGCAGGGCCAGCTGGGCTCCTCTCCCCACCCAGCAGGACGTGAATGCCACATGGCAATGACAGGGTGGCAGAAAGAAAAGTGATCTTTGCGAGTCAATAACCAAAATTCACTACATGAATTGCTCTTTCTGCCAACACAAGGGAGACAGTCTTCCTGAGAGTTCATACAAGAGAAGAAAATTCAAAACAACCCTTTCCCTGCTTCACTGACAAGCTCAGCAGTTTCCCCTGGTTCCTCAGCATTACATTAAGACCTGCAGGGCACTTTCTCAAAGCGCCGGGCTCCCGAGGGGAGGCAGCAGGCGCCGCCAGCCTGTGGAAACTCGGGGAAAGGCTGCTACAGGTCTCCGTGCCTATAATGGGGGGCTCTGTTCTCCTCGAGTGCGCTCTGCCCGCGGCCCCACAACGGGGCTCTCTGTGAGCAGAGGGCTGCCCCAGGCCCTGAGCCTGGTCCCTTGGTCCGCACGGCGCTGCGGCTCTGGACACATTTCCTCCACACAAGAGAGTTCCCAGAAATGTTCCACCGGCGGTAGTTGCATGTGGAGCTCAAGCCCCGGCGGTGCAGCCCGCCCTGCGCTCACCAGGCGGGCACAGCGGCGGCACCGCTGCCCTGCGGCACCCGCAGCTAGCGGGGACCCGGGACGGACAGACAGCCTCCGGGACAGACAGACAGACAGCCGCCGGGACAGACAGACAGCCTCCGGGACAGACAGACAGACAGCCGCCGGGACAGACAGACAGCCAGCCGCCGGGACAGACAGACAGACAGCCGCCAGGACAGACAGACAGCCAGCCGCCGGGNTCTCACCCGAGCCGGCAGCTCGCCGCAGCCTTCGCGCTGGGGTCTCAGGGGGTCGCAGTGGATCACCATCCACTGGATCTCGAACTGGCAAAGGAGGAAAGATCATGTTAATTCGGGTCAGGGGTCAGACACTGTAAGAGGTGGAATACTGGCTCGCTATGCAGAGGGTTAAACGCTAGATATTTAATGTCAATAGCTACAGGTGGAGCAGCGCTTCGCCCTGCATTCCATTAACCCTACCTGTAGAGGTTTTTTAAAGAGGGGGCATAAGTCGGCCGAGGTGTTGCCACTTCTAAAATACTCTTTATCTCATCTCTGCTGTTCTGTTTGCTTTGCAGTCACCAGTTTCCAGACTGCTGAGACTGGAGCACAACAGAAACAGTACCCTTGTTCCTTTTACCTGTTAAATGACACCACCACCCGTGAGCCAAGTTTTTCCCTCCTTTATCCACTTCTCATTTTCAGACTTTCATAATAATAGCCAATTGAGTGCTATAATATACATATAAAAGAACTAATTTGATACTACAAGGCAGGCACACCACAGCAACAGCCCAAACAGGAGTAAGTTGTCAACATTATCCTCACACTAAATTCAAAACACAGCAGTGTACCAGCTGTGAAAAGAAGAACGCTAACTCTGTCTGCCTTGAGGCTATATAAAACAAAAGCTGATAGAACACTTCTCTAACTCTTTTTTTAAATGAAAAATAAAACTCTTCTGGTGGCAAGGTAGTAAAAGATACAACTGGCTTCCCATTGATTTAGGAGAGGTGAGAGAAGGGCAAATATATTCTAGCCTTGCTGTCAAGGCATCTTTTCCCTTGCCAGTTTCACGATGACCTTGTTGATTATCTTAAGCTGATTTAAAGGATGCCACGATTTTGAAGACATCTCATGTATGTGCTTTACTGATATCAATATACAGTGTTATTAAGGATTAAGCACAGTCACAAAGTTCTCAGAAATGAACCTCAGATATTTTAGGAGTAATCATAAAGCAAAGGTATTAAAATGTAACCTTTTAAACCCAAAGGTGGTTGTGCCTGAGGTACAGCTTATTTTCTTCACAGTAGCTGGTATGGATCCGTGTTTTGGATTTGTGCAGGGAGCAGAGTTGATAGCAAAGGGATGATTTTGTTATTGCTGAGCAGTGCTTGGACAGAGTCAAGCTTTTCTGCTCCTTACCCCCACCCCATCAGGAAGGAGGCTGGGGGTGCACAAGGATTTGGGAGGTGGCACAACCAGCATAGCTCATCCCAGACCATACAATGTCATGCTCAGAATATAAAGCTGGCAGAAGAAGGAAAGGGCAGGGGGTAGTTTGAAGTCTTCCCAAGTCTTTGTCTACTCTTTGTCTTCCCAAGTCACTGTTACGTGTGATGGGGCCCTGCTTTCCTGGAGATGGCTGAACACCTGCCTGCCATTGGAAAGTGATGAATTAATTCCTTGTTTTGCTTTGCTTGTGTGCATGGCTTGAGCTTTACCTATTAAAGTGTCTTTATCCCAATCCACAAGTTTCCTTACTTTTACTTTTCCAATTCTCATCCCACCATGGGTTAGAGTGAGCAAGTGGCTGTGTGGAGCTTAGTTGCTATCTGGAGTTGAACTACAGAGAATATTTAAGACCTATAGGTCAGTATTCCTGACATACATTTTGCAGGTTTCCTACAGGATATCTGTTTCATCTTCATTTCTTAGTCAGCACATAAACAATTAACTGTGTCTGACTGTTGACTGTTTTGTCCTCTTAAGTTCTACAGAAATTCCTGCAAATGTCCACCACCTTTGCACATCTCAATATCAACCACATAATTCAGTTGCCTTATTAGTGCTTTAGTTGAGAGAGGTGAAGGTTAGGTAAAATGCAAACGAGACCTAAATATGTAGGGTAGTATTTTCAGTATAAAATCAGCCACAGGGGTGCATTTAGCAGTACCATAGGCTTTAGGGAAAACTGTGACCCTCAGAGAACAGTTGTAGGTCTCCTCTGGGAAATCTGGCTCCCTGAATCCCACTGAGCTATTGCTGGCTTGGTGATGATCCAGGGGAAGTCATCCCTCCTGGGGAGTATAACTCAGCTAAGCAATTTTAAGCAATGTGGAGATTTTCTACAATACTTTGTCAAGGATACCTGTTTCTTCTAAAAGAGGTCTGCTGTCAACTGTTTGCACATTTGTAAAGTGACCAAGAATAAACTACATATTTTTCAATGCATCTCATTCCAGAGCTATATTAAACATTTTATCCATTTTTCGACATCTCTGGAATAGCTAGTTTTTAGAACTTCATTTTCCTTGCACCTTTTATTTAAAGCCTTTGAACATTACAGTCAATTCCAGTGTTATTTGGCTTTCCATAGATGTGGTTCAGCCTTCTGAATGTGAGATTTCACAGGGTGAAAAAAAAAACCAAGATGTGACTTTTTACAGTACACAGACACAATCTGCTCCATGGTGCAAATTAATCCCTGTTAAACAAATATTGACAAGCAGCTTCCTCTTAGGTGTTTCAAGTCATGTAGCTTCCCTGAGCTAGTTAGCATCATTAAATGTCAATTAAATAATGACCAAGAGTCACTTCTAGAAAAGTGTTTAGTGTCTATTATGAAAAAACCATGCTAATGCCTCTGAAATCACAGGAATTAAGCCAATTTTATTATCTCACAGAAGTCAGAAAAGGAGCAGTAAGAAATTCTTTCCCTTACCTTCTTATAAAAACGTAATTTAGGAAGTGAATTCCTTTTCAGTTTTGAAATTTGGCTAAATCTCATCTTTTTTAGAGTTTATAATGGATTATTTTAATTACTTTCAGATAAAAAGATAAAACTTTTAAATACATTAATCTCAAAAAGAAAAGATAAAAAGCAGCTGTGAATCTATGTAAAAATTCACTCTCCATAAAGCATTCCAGAAATCCTGGAATAAATCTCTGTAAAGGCTAAAAGGCAAGATGCAGTTTCTAGTGGAACTGTATCTATTATTCTCATAGGCAGTCATAGTAATAACAAGCCATAAAGAATCCCTCTTAAAATTTATGTACTACAGTGCACCTCTGAGAAGTTGACCTATTCTGCAAGATAAATAGGGCCCTCACCAGAATGCTGCAAAAAAGGATAGGAAACACATAATTTATGTCCTTTTAAAATTCTACCACTGGAAGTAATATACTTTAACAATGCCTGGGAGTAAATTAAAAGCTGTGCCTAGGGCATACTAAATAACCAAGACTGTTGAGATATTTAAACTTATAGTCAAGCAAGTTAAAGACTAGAATAGCCTCAAACACAGATTTATTTAAACAATTTAAAGATAAAGAAAGTACACAGGCTAAAACAGAAATTTCTGCAATATAAATAAACATTTTAAAATTACTAGTCCGTCTGATTATGTAATTCCTTTATCATCATTTCAGAGGACATGGGGTTCCTAAATCTACATTATTGTAATATCAGGTCGAACCACTACCATTGCCTTTTTGGGCTTCCCAGCACAGGCCATGCAATTCAATCCAGTGAGTCCTAAGTCAGTTCTGTCCAATATAAAGTGTATTTTTAGTTTTTAGACATCCAAACTCAATTTAAGAATATAGTCATGTATACTTTCTGTCTTCCCTGATAATTTGTTCTGGTGCTTCCTTTTTCTTTTTGTCAAGAAGTGTGCTTTATACTCTTGTTTTAAAGCCTATATCATGCAGAGATTTTACTTTTTTCATAAAATATATTTTACATGACCAAATCTTCCCAGAAACATGCTAAAGTTACAAACAAATATTTTGCATTATAAATGGTGAATTATAAAAATCACTTAATTCCATTTTGTTCTTTTATCCTTAAAGGAGGTTGCCCTATAATTACCGTAGCCCCACACTGGTGCCTAAAGATGTACAGTCTTAAACACAGGCAAGGCAGAACTCAGTGCCAGTCACTTTTCCCCACCAAAGGACTGAAGAGCCCTGGGTGATCAGTGTTGCTCATTTGTATACCTTGTAAAGAGCAAGTCTCTGCAAAACACAGGCTGGAGAGGAAAGAGGATAAGATTCCAAATTGCTCTTTTGCTTTTCCTCATTTCTTTAATCCTGGCCAAAGCTCAGTCAGAGTACCAGCAGAAGGCCAAGGTGCCCTTGATACCACATCTCTCTCCTCGTTTGTCAGCTGCTGTTTGGAATCTCCACTTCAACATGCAAAGGAGCCCTCCTCATTTTTAAAGGGAGTCTAACTTGAGGGCACAGTTTGCTCTACCAGGTGCTGTAAAATTATTGCATTAATACCTGTAGCTTTCTCTGCATTTAATCTATCTTTCCAAAGAGGAAAACAATATTGGCATAGAATTTTTTTATCCTACTAACACGCATAGAATGTATGTAATGTGTAATGTTTTCATTATCCCACCTATCCATCAGTATCACTCAGAGCAGTTAACAAAGCTAAGAAACATATGCTAATTTTTAATATGCTAATTGCCACATTATCAGCTCCAGCTGATTATTTTATGACATTTTCAATGACTAACTCTTGTTTTCAACAGAATTATTATAAGTTCTCAGCTATTGAAATTTCCTAACCCGCATCTCTAACAGCATGCAGCAACAATATACATCCCTTCAGACACATGGGGCAGCGTTCTGCTGGCATTCTCATGTAAAACTGATTTCAATCCAGTGCAATACAGCAACTAAACCTACAGAGGTGCTGAGACATGAGATGCTTCTTTTGTTGCAATATTTTCCCTTTCAGATGTACACCAAATTGGTTAACGTGTATCTACATTTTTTTGCAAACAGTGTGAGATATAGTTTAAAATTATGTCTCACTTCACTCTTTTACTCCAAAGTTGTTTTAATAAGTACAAGGATGTCTAAGAATTTTTATTATTGAAATTTAGACATAGCCTGTGTCATCTCTAAACTTACAAGGTATAAGTGTAAAATTAAAAAAAACACAGCTGGTACTTACCTGCCAAGGAGTTATTTTCTGCCATTTCTGCTTTCAGAAATGATTTAAACATGCATTCCACAGAACACAACCCAGTATTTAATGTCAAGCACTTTTTGAAGAAACAAAAGATTTTGAAACTTACCGGAACTGAAATCTGAGGATTATTTTTAAGTTTTCCAAGCACAGCAAAGCCATCAGTGTTGATTTTCCCTTTTGGCTTTATGTTTAAGGATTCTATTTTAATACAGTCAATAAAAAGTGTGACACTGTTTGCTTCCACAATAATCATAAGCTTGTGCCATTGGGAGTCAAACAAGAAAGGCAAATGTAAAAATGATGCTGTTTGGTGCTTTCCATCTGCTCCTTTATAAGAAAACTCAACGCTTTTCACTTGACCATTGAGATTCACTCCAACTTGTTCTTTTCCTGAAGAATCCTGAATCTGCCAAATAGTCCAGTATTTCTGAAGCGTGGCCCCAGTCATCCGAAAAGTAGTTAGAAAGGAATATTCATCAGGCAATCCATTGGAATATATGGCACTGTGTAGAATTAAAATACAGCACATTTGTTCTCTATTTGCTCTGAAAACTACACATACCACCACAGAGAAAGAGAAACCATTACTCAGTGGAACCATATCTTAACCATCCTTGTATCAGCACACTTCTGCATGCTGAGCCTCAAAGCAAGGTGTTACTAATGGCAAAAGAACTGGTTCAGAAATGTGGGTTCTACCAATGTTTTATAATTTTTATAACCCTTTCTAAGAATAATGGATGGAGCAACAAGTAACTCCTATTTCAGATACAGAAAACATCCTACAATTATCCTAGTTCCCACTATTAGACTTACAAAATCATAGTATGACTTTACAATGACCAGGGAGAAAGCGAAGATCTGATGTGATTTTGAAGGAATAAGAATGTCTTTTGCAAATGCATTTTCTTGTTCAGCCTGCCAATAACCCTTTTGTTAAGGTAGAAGCTATCACTTTAGCAGAAATCATTGACAAATATGTGGTGAGAACCCACACTCAAAGTGTATTATGTCCTGTGACATTCAACCAGAAGACTACAAGTAGCAGGGAACAAATTTGCCACATATAAAACATCTCATATTTTAGCACCTGCTGCAAGGTGAGCTTTGGAAACAAAGGTAGCACTGCCTGTGTCACTGTGCTAAACAGTAATGTCATTTTTTATTTCAAATGTATCATTGAATCCAGTACAAAATTTAAGAAACAGGCCTTTCCATATTTATTCCATGGATCATAAAACTCTAGTGTTATATCCAGTTGACATCAATACATCATTTGCTGTTTACCTACGTTTAAGAATAAGTTTGAATAAATTCCTTAAGCATGAAGATATGCAGAGCTATTTTGTCCCAGCTTTCATTAGAATAACTTCTCAAACAAGTAGACATTTTGAACAAAGATGATTTTTGAGTGGCAGATCAACCCTATCTCAGCAGCTATTTAGACAGCATTAGTGAATCTCAGGATTTAGGCTGGGGGTGGGGGGGAAGCAGAAAAATTGTGTAAGTCAGCTCTCATTCTGTATGCTCAATGATACTGATTTACAGAGAGAGTACTTCAGAAGCAATCTCTCTAGTTTGCAGTGTTCCAAGCTGTAGTGCAGCTGTGTTCCAGCAGGCAGCGACACAGCCTCAGCAGATTTCAGCAAGGACACGGCATGCCTGGCAGCAGAAGCAGCTTCATCTTATGAATAAAGTACCCGCACTGCTGGTGTTTCTCCTTTTCCCCACGAGCCTTTGAATACTCCTCAGAGCAGGGGTATAAGGAAGGGGAACGTTTAGCTGAAAAGTTTAGCTCTTTATATAAGGTGTGGAGATATACAAATTTGGAAGAGGTTCCTTGCCAGTAGATTTTATCTAACTCGTTGTGTTCTGTCATCATTTATTTTCTGTTTGCATCTTTTCATCTCAGATGCAAACATCAACATCTGGATATTGTAGCTTTCCCTCGGTTCTGAGCACTTTGCAGTGTTTACTGTCCCCTATCCCTCCCTGTGTTAGGTTTCTGGCCTATACAATGAACATATATATTATTTTCTGCTCCGGGAAGATAATTCTCTCTATCCAGACATACCTTCACTCTTACTGAGCTTCTGATCCAATTCACCACATCCTTTATGGCCCTTTGTGTCTTTCCTCTATAGTATCTCTTTTGAAAGTATTTCAATCCTCTACTGCTGAAACTTAACTCAGCTGGGTTATTTATCTCTTCAGTTGCTGAATCTCATTTGTTCTTGCAGGAGAGCTGGTTTTTCTACTACCACACTGAAGGTGGTATTGTTAGGTAATCTTTAAATAGCCTCCTTGTGAGATTCAGCTTTCTCTCTCAAGTTCAATGACTCCAGGGTGTCTGATAACACTGAGCCTAAAAGAAGCAGTCCTCTGTGAAGAGGTTTGTTTTTTTATTTGTCTGCACTGCTAAGTTTTGCTGTCATGGCAATACTCTTTAACTATCACACACATTCTCATCCAACCTCAGCTGACACAACTATACTGCCAAAAAGCCAAAACAACAAAAGAAACAAAAAAAAAAACTAGTATGTGAACACACTTTTTGATTAGAATATTGTTTATACCAGATTGGTATACACCATATTAGACCATATTTAGCTATAGAATTAGTGCTTTTCAAGACATTATATGGGTTCTCCTCTTCTCAGACATTAAAATAGGAAAGAAACACGTTCACTTTTTCAGAAGATATGCAAAGAGAAACAATGTAAGGGCTTCTGACACTGGAAGGAGAAAATTAAGTTATAAGAAATGTATAACAAACACTAAAGATAAAAATTCAGTGCACAAACATGTATAATATTCAAATTTTTAAAAATATTAATAACCAATCAGAAGAACTGCTGCCTTTAGACTAAAGACTCAGTATCAGTATCATGACTCAACACAGTGAATCATGACCAATCACCAGAAAGGTACTCTGCAGGGGTGATTTACTGTGTAACATTTACACCTATAATTCTACAAGCAATGCAGAGACATATTCTCATCTCAGCTACTCCAACAGTAAAGATCCTTTAGTGGTTTAACTGTATTTCAGAACACATTTCTTTCCAAAGCCTGTAATCCTTATACAGGCAAAACCCTTCTGAAGTCAGTAACTTAAAATGCTAAATATTTGGAAACCATGGCAAATTTAGCATGATATTTAAATAAACAATTGTAGAGAAGCTATTTCTCCATCTCACTGCCAAGCAAAGAGTGATGAATTCTGTAATTTTATTGAACAGCTGATAGCTTTATAAGCCCTCCAATTATTTCTGTAAATTATTTTTAACATAGTTGTTTCCATTTCCACTGATTTATGGAAGGGATCCAAGCAATTATAAATTTAGATTCAGGTAAATGAGAGATGAAATAATTTATAGGGAAACATATTTGAAGGCCAAAATCCAGATTTATTCCTGACCTATTTCTTATCCCATTAAAATTGTTAGTAATATAAGCCATCAGACCTTTTTATTTCATTTAGTGTTTTTCTTCAGTTTGTAAGAAAGCATTCCAGTCCTGCTTTCCTCCTAAGCTTGTACTGTTATTAACTGCTTCAGTTGTTTCTTGAATACAAGGTTAGGTCTTTTTTTTTTTTTTATCAGATATTTGAATATTTGACTAGATTTTTAAAGTATTGGAGGGTGGGAAGTTTGAAACATTTGTAGTTCATGCAGGGAAACTTCTGAAACACTGCTATTTCTTTTAATCTTTTTCATAAATACCTGAAACTCTCACTAATCCTGTATTTTGAATACTTACCAGGAAGATTTTTTTTTGAAATTTCAAAGCTAAGTCCTACCCAGGCTTCAATACAACCCAAGGTAAGGAAAGCCCTGACCCATCCCACTGACCCCAGGATTCACCAAAAGCAGAAAATTATGTTAAAAGCCCAACTATATACCTATGTAAATTCTACAGAGTAACTGTTTATTAAATTTGGGGGGGGGTTGAGTTAATTGCTTAGGTGAACTCCATTACTCACTGACTTAACTTAGTCCTTGTTAAATAACCCTTGTTAAATAAAGATTTTAGAAACATTAGCACAACCCACTGGAAGTGGCTGTGGAAATTGCTGTGGCCATTCTCATGATAATGCAGTACCATGTGACCAGGGTTGAGGGTTCTTTCTAACCCATCTCCTGAAGCTGCCTAGAATCACAGCTGACCTGGCAGAAACTACCCAGCAGCAATTGAACAAGCAATAACAATAAAACTTAGCTCAGCACTTTTAAAAACATCTGTCCTAAGTCATTAACCAGAAGCCATTTGTCAGGACTCATTACCCTTAGCTGATCTTTACTCTTCAGAAAATTCCAATTCTGAGCAAATTAATTCTCTTATGACCTAATTAGCTTCCTAGCTGCATTTTGTCACTTCTATTTCAGCATCATCATCAGTATCTGGGTGGGATAGCTTACTCGCAGTGTGAAAGGAAAAGCACCTGAAGAGCTGTGGTGGCTGAATGTAGAAAAGTCAGATCTTTAAGCACATGTGCTTGAGGAGCACTGCTTCACAGAAAAACAATATTCCCAAAGGAAAAAAAAAAAAAACACAAAAGAAAAGCCAGAAAATCAGCCTTTGAAATTCTCTGTATATTTCAAGTTTACCAATAAAACTTTATAAAATTTCTTCCTATTTTGTTTGGGTGTTTTGTGTGTGCATCTGTGTGATATTATGGCAGTTGCATTTGTGAAGTCAAAGGTTTAAGGTTTTGTCCAATGCAAAAAGAGAGTTAGCCCTCTTCCCACATATAAAAAATGTGTCATGAACACATTTCTTTGTGCCAGTATGTTTTTTTAAGATCTCCATTAAAAATAAACACAATTATTATCCCAATAAAATGGATTAATTTTGTACTTACTAACTGGTAGATGCCTACAATATGCACATAGATTAAATTGAAAAATGATGGGTTCACCATGTCCAGCGAAAACAGCTATATGTCATGGCAGTTCCACACAAAGTTTTTACACCATTATTACACCACACCAGTTAATGGAGAACACTGTATTGATCAGTCAACACATTTTACTCTAGAAGAAGCACTGGACAATGGGAATTTATCTGGATGATGGGAGAAGCTGTGTAATGACTTGTGTGCAATCATTTCTGTTCATTCTGGGATATATGTCTGGGAAACCTTTCAAAGCAGCAAAAAAACCAAGCTAGAAGTAAGTAACATTTTAAGGAAGCTCTGTGAGTTTTCCAAGGCATAAGCTATTGCTGCATCGAAGACTGAGTGCTGAGCCATGCCCATTCAATTGAGCTCTCATTCCCATACCACATAGCCACTCTAAAATGCCTCCTCTGCCTTAGTATAGATCATCATGTGTTAGCCTAAAAAGTTATTTCCCTGTTGCCAATGTGTCTGATGAGGGTCCCTCCCCAGTGCTCCTCTGGCACTTGGGCTGTATCAGCCATCCAGCTCAGGAAGCCCATGCTGGCCATTTTCCCAGACTCACTGTTTTTCCCTCCCCATGCTCTCGATGCAGCCGGAGCTCCCCGGCCGGGGGCGGGGGCCGCAGGGTGATGCCCTGGCTGTGAGCCCCGGCCGCCCGGCCCGAGGAGCAGCGCTTCAGCACCGCGGGCAGGGACAGCTCCGGGAGCCGGGCTCGGCCCTGCCCTCCCTCCCTCGCTTTCCCTCCCCTCCCACCGACAGGAGGACCAGGCTGTAAAAGAACTCTGGAGCAGAGCGGCGAGCTCGGGCTCAGTGACAGAGGAGCAGCACACTGAGGCACTGGAGCACACTCGGGAACCAAACCTTCAATCCATTTCCTGGGCCAGAGACCCCAATGGCAGGAGTCAGCTCGGATGCTGCAGTAAGGCAGCTGACATCGGCTTGTTCAGGGGTAACTTGTGTACATCGAGCACGTATTTCACTAGAACCACCTACAGCAATAAGTCTAAACTCTCTTAAAAGTGAAAATATTGCTGCTTTTATCTGAGAATCTCCAGCTTTTGGTGAAGTGATGATCCCATTTGCTGTCTGTGTTTGGATTCACATTCATGCAATAGCAGCCTTGATTTGTGTCTGGGACTGAAAGTAGCCGTGAGCCCAATGTAACCTAACACTTAAACTCTAAAGTAGCTTAATCTGGTGGCTATGAAGATAGGAGCCAGGGAGGATTGCAGCAAGAAAAGCTGTTAGTTATAGCTGGAATAAGACAGAAATGCTTCACAATCCAATTATTCCTAGCTGAAACAGTAGTCCAGTTAATGGTCTTGTCACTTACTTGCTAAGTTGAGGCATTCTTAATTACATAAGGTGCTGGAACAGAATCCAGACTTGCATAAATTTGGCAAAGACATCTCTACCCTGCTGTACTGTCTCTATTCCTTCACCAGCAGCAAGTCTGGTCTGTAAAGCACAAACACAATTAGATTCCTAAAACCTGACTTCTATCACAAATCCATTGTAACATGCTAAATAATAGCATTCAACTTTTATAGATAAATGACCATAAATCAGCCAGGAACATTCATGTACCTGTTACCTAAAACAAATACACAATGAAAAACCACCCTTACCTCAGAATCAGTGAATTGTTATCCTACCTGGCCTCTGCAATCCTCATGTGATCAGAAAGATCCCTTTGTGTCAATATTTTAAGAAAACTTTCTTCCCTCTCCTCCTGTTACATTTTCTTTGCCTCCCTATTTCAAGTCAGCAGCAGCTTCTGACATTACTTTCAAGCGATGAATGCCTTAGTATCAGCAAATCCTGAGTCACTCTGAGCAACATCATGGGCTAGAGGAAAGTGGAAGTCCCTGAAATTGCTGCTATAGAACCGGTCTGATCTGGTGGTGGCAATGAAAAAAAAAGTTCAATTCCTCTTTCCCCTTCTGAAAACTTTTCAAATTTGGTGATCTAACTGGTAGGAGATCTACCACTGAAAAAATAAGATTGCAAAATATCTGTATTTTAAAGCCAGACAAGGAAGGCATTACCTGGTTGGTATCCTGAAGTCTACATTGGGTCCCAATTTATAAGCTACTTGTAGAGAAGTGGATCCCACTACTCTCTCTATAATTCCTTGGGAAGCAGCTTTTTCTATTTGAAACTGAGAAATCAGGTCAAAGCCTGCAAGAAAAAAGAATATACACATCCATAATGTAGCTTTCATTTTAAAGTGAGAATTGTGCTGTCAGAGAGCTGAATATAACCTGACAATTTTTTTGAACACCAGCTTTTTCCTGAAAAAGTCTGGATGCTACTTGCCTGGTAAGTCATCTTGGCCAATCCTGATTGTTGGGCAGATATCAATTCTGTGACTGGCACCCAGAATAACTGGTAGTCCTGCAAAAAAAGGTGAATTTACTAACCATGTGCCTGCACATTGCTGCAGATCACCTTATAAAATTAACTGAAGCAACTGTAAGATTATTATGAATTGAACAGAGCTATAAATAATAATAATTAGAGGTATATAATAATTTAAACTGTACTCAGTAAGTAAGAGGTATAAGAAAATAATCATCTTTTTCTAGAGAGCTCCAAATTGAAAACAGTAATTTGATATGCTATTTGATTTTCTTTTTCAAGCCTTTAAATGAGAGTGTTACAATAATTATTCTCTTGCCGAGCTGTTGAGAAATAGTAATAGTTTAAAAAGGCCTGCTGTGTAAGGTTTTGGGTTGTAACTTTTGGTGGTTCAAGCAAACTTAAAAAAAAAGTCAGTTACCTAAATCAACAGTCTCCCTACTCCCAAGGAAACTTAAACAAACCTCATGCCAACTAAAGAATTTGTTGTGAATCAGTTGGCATCTTTTCCACCCTCTCTGTTATTCCAAGCTTTCCCACTTTTCTCTGTGCCAAATTTGATCAGAAAATGAACATTCATGAAATGCAGGATGGTGGCAAGAAGACTTTACAGCCTTTTTTGTTTACCCAAATGAGAACCTAGAAGAAATTTGTTTGAGGAAACTAAATCTAAAAATCAATTTTTCAGAATATTATTTGTCAAAAAGCCTTGTCATGACCATAAGACCTACAAAATGCCCAGAATTAAGGAAGGAGGAAAGAAAAATAAGCATTTATTTGAAAAGTTTAAGATCCAGGTACAAGTGCAGTACCAAGTCAATCTGGAAAACGCTAGCAGAGTGTGGGTAGGGAAGAATGAAGAGTGGAAGTTGGAAGGAGAAACATTTCTAACCTACAGAGAGCCTCTTGTGTGCTGCAAAAGCTCAACCCTAAATGTGGGTTTCCTTCTGACAACATAGGCTTAAAGAGAACATTCAGGTTGACATGTTACACCTTAGAAAAGACCTCATTCTATATTCTTAGATGAGACATATGGCTGACATCCAGCCATTCACATTTTATACCCAGCAAATAAAATAGAACCAGTTTATTACCACATGTAGCAGAAGAATATCTAATTAGAAGCACTGAAAGACAGGGAAGGTTTGTGTCCTGTATTTACCATCTATGTCCAGATTTTAATCCTTACCTTAAAAATACATCTAATAGCAAATTTAAAGCAACACACACGGCTCTTGCTTTTTTTCACTGTTTTTCATATATATCCTTCTATTCATCCATACATACATAAGTGCACATAGACAGCTCTCACTTTGTGTGATGGCTAGCTACAGAGAATTTTTGTTTTGAATAAACACAGAATAATTCTTTTGACATTCAAAATTACACAAAGATAAAATGTAGATAAAATCTGTCTCCTTACTTGATTGGTGCTGGATGGTGGCTGAGATGAAAGACCAGAGAAAACTACACAGGTAAAAGAAAGCTGTAATTTTCCTGTAAACAGAATGAAAACTCCAATATGAATCTATAGTTTCTGACAGGTTTTGTTATTAAATTTCTCCTCCAAGCCATGCATATTAAACATAAAAAATACCAGTTAAGGATTTGCTAACAGATTTGACAAGACAATCTCTTTGACAAGATAATTTCTTTACATGACAACATTTTATTTTTGCCTTATAATAAAACATGTCAATAAAGCTCTTTCTATTGTTGTCCCCCTCATATAATGCTGGCAAGAACAGCTTTCACTGTTCTAATCTCTTATTTACAGATGTCTCTAAATCCCACTTGTTCGCTTACCAGTGGCTTTTCATCTTCACTGCTGGATTTCTTCACTTCTCTCATGTGAATACGCGGGGTATATCGTCACACTGCCTGCTTCCCTCTCATTAGTCTGACAGAGGAGTGCAGCAGTGGGTGCAGACAGCTGCTCCTGCCCCACCAGGACCCAGCAGAGAGGGAGGTGCAGGCTCTGGGCTGGTTTTAATCTTTCCAAGGGAAGGAGGTGGAGGCTGGAAGGACATGTGTGTCCTGGTGGGCTCTGAGGGCGGACCTCTGGAGCCAGCCAAATATAAAGAAGCCAAGAGAGCAAACTAAAGGCTGCTTCTTTCACCAGCAAGAGGGCAGGGAGATTCAGAAGATGTGAGTTCAGCAAAGCTAGTCTCTGAATGGTGGGACCTGCTGTTCAGCCAGGCAGGGGAATGAATTATATGTACCAGGAGGTGTGAGAAAGCTGGTGGGCCTGATATGGTGTTATGACTAAAAGCTCTGAGAAGTAGGAAATCCCTGTCCTATTAAGAGGATATTTTCATTTCTCACTGATTTACTCCTGAGGTGACCTCAGGAGAAGCCTGTCTGGTGAAGTCCCAGTTGGTTTTTCTGAATAAAACAGGTTATGTAAAAGGGTTTTCATTGCTTGTATTCTAACCTCCAAGGCATACATAGGCACTGTTAAGCAAACTCCTGTTCTGTTGTCATTGATAAAGCACTCCCTTTCCAAAGGGACTATTACGTATGTTTGGACACACAAAGACATTTACTCATATTTGCTCACCTGGATGTAAAAAGAGAGAGAAAAACTAGAATCTGTATGCATGATCAAGGTAATAAAAAGCCAGAAGGTCCTGAAAGGAAGCACAGTGAAAATTCATGTACGTATCGAAAAGTATGCTAGGTTTTTCTTATACATCACATTTGTAAGGTTTCATCTTCTCTAGACATGGAATATGTAGTGATATTCTGGTTAGTAACACCCTAGATTTCCAGATTTTTCAAAATGTGGAATATAGGAAATGCAATAATCTCTGCTGTCTGATAAGTGCCTGGAGAAATAAATGGGTAATGAACTATCAGCTTCATCCCAATTTGCTGTAAATCACATTCCCAGTATTGCTAATTTCAGTGTTAACGTAGTTTACAGTTTTAAATCTATTGTTAGAATACGGTATTCATTGGACATGAATAATGTCTAATTTTGATGCCTAAGGCAGTGAAGCTTTGGTGATGCTGTTTTTTCACCCTTCAAGAGAAAGATACACCCTGGGACCCTTGTGGTCCAGCACAATTGTGAACATATCGGCACCAGGATTGTCTCATGAAACCTCTGGCAACTAAAAACCAAAAAAGGTCAAATACCAAATTGATTTCACAAGAAGTTTGCCCAAGTGACCACACACCTGAGTGCCTTTTTCCCCCATGCAGCTATTTCCATTGTGGCATCCAGAGGTACCCACAGGGCATGAAAGGAGTCTATAAGGAGCTGGAAGAAGAGCAGCACATGGAAGTCACTTGAAGCTATAACAAAAGGGAGTATGGCATATGAAGGAATGACAGAGAGCATGCAGGGCTTAGAAAGAATACCAGAATCTTTGTGAAGGAATGGAAAAGTCAGGTGCCAAACCATCTCTTTTGTTGTCTATAAGCTGTGGCATTTCCTTTGCCTTTGAGACTGCTTAGCATTGCCAATTTATTTGAGTCAGTATTAAGGAAGAAAAGGCCATTCCAATAGTTAGATACTGAACTAATTAGTACCACCTTACAGTAAGTTTGCAATATTTTTTGGTACATGGTGTGAAGATATCTGCCATCCATTGTGTCTGGGGTTATTCACACACACATCATCCTCTCCTAGAGGGGAAGTCTTGTTCAGAGGAATTCAGAGAACATATACTCTGTTTCTGGGCAGTCTATAATGTAATTTTGCTTGCATTTCTTTGCAGCAATTCTCAAGGGTGGAACTTCTTTTATGTCTGGAGTATTTTCCCAATACAGGATCTTCAAAAGACATTTTTACTGAAATAAAACATAGGAGACACTATGTAACTAAAGCTGGGAAAACACATTTACTATTCTCTTTGTGGGCAAAAGAAAAATTCCTTAGAAGACTAATAGCCTCGGGTTGCTCTGTGTGCATTTTGATGTCTTTATCTCGAAGGAAAACTCTGTGATGAAATTCCTGACTAGATGTCCTCCTAATAATTATCACATCACCTTGAAAAAGCCAGAAAAATATTAACCTACAAACCAGTGGTAGCAGATTTAATAACCCCAAAATCTAGCAAATATTATTACCATTTCAAGAAAATGTAAACTGGCATAGGTGGAGTATGTATCTTATGTATCTTGCTGTCACAGAGACAGTCTCCATCCAACTAACACTCATGTTTAGCTGATCCGACTATTTTGATGTCACTTTATGTCACTTCATAGTTTTCTCTTATGGATTGGACCAATATAAAATTTTTTTCAGAAAAATTCAGTGGGCAGTGGTTGCTGTTAACCACTTGCTCAGGGATTCATAATCTGAACACCAACTGCTCATCTTTTGAAAGTGGGTTAATTAAACAGTGATGAATTTGTTCAAATACTATCTCCTGAAAATAAGCTATGTAGGAATGTCATCACCTCACTAGCAGGTGGAGGTGTGCTTACACACCTGACTTCACATTCCACTCCTCAAATATCTGATTCCATATTCATTCCATACTCCTTCTGTGAAGCTTGACTTGGACAACAGGTATTCATACAGCAGTCCCTTGGGAATGTGTCTGAATTGGAGAGAAATACCAAATGGATGGACCCAGCTTCTATTGCAGATATAAAGCTTGGTCTCTGTGATGAAAAGGTTTGCAGCAAGGTGGCTGCAGTTGGACTTTCAGGAGGTGTAATCCAGTAAAAACCAAAAAAAGTCTAAAGGCGTGATTTAGAGAAGACTACATGGAAGAAAAGGTTTCTCAGTTCAAGCTTGGGTTTACAGCAATTTAGGATGACTAAATTAAGTGAAAAATCCTTTTCTGATGTTTATTTTATGTCTGGACTTGAAGGAGCTCAATTTCACCGACTCGTACTTTTGAGCAAGACTTGCAGAAGGACCTAGGCAAGTTTGTTCTTCCCCTGAAAGTATCTGTGACATATATGCAGGTACTGGTTTCCCAAGAACAAGCTTTGGAGCTGGAGGAACCGAAGTCCAGTTTGCACTGTTGAAGTGGGGCCTCTGCCTGTGTGAGTGATCCCATAAGGGACCAGAGGATCATACTCCCAGCCCTACACAGCTCTTCCACACACAGCTGGAGAGGAGGGGAGCAGCAGGGAAGACATTAGTTCTTGTTGCCTGTCTCTCTCCTGTCTCCTGGAGACCATTTCTCTCCCGCACAGTCTTCTCTGAATTTTGCTTTTAGCCTTTTCATGTGACTTCAGCCTCTTACGGCCACTTTCTCTGTTCCATTTACAGTAACAAAAATCTGCTTTATACATTTCAAACCTTCTTTTTCCTTACCTATAGGTAAGGGTATAGTAAGGGTCACTGCTCTCCCTGGAGTTTGCCAGACCCCAGGATAAGCACATACCACACTCTTAACATGAGTGAGTTTGTTTTTACATTGTGTTTGGCTCTCTCAGCTCAAGAGTAACTGTGTGGCTGTGAGTGATGGCATTTCTGAAAGACCTGTTCTGTAGGGTAATTGAATTGACAGCAAAACTATAATCCTTGTCAGGTTCCAACACATCATCAGAATTAAACAAATAATCTATTATCCAATAAATTCTTACCTTCATCATAGAATTGTAATTTTCTGTCCAAAATTTTAAGAATTTTGGCATGGGAAGAAAAACAGCTTTTCTTTCCAACCTGTCAGATGCCATTTTACATAAAGACCAAACAACCTCTTTCTAGTAGAGGTCACTCAAAAAAACCTGGGAATTCTTGGGGCCAGATTCTCACCTCCTCAGCACAATCCTCTTTCTAGGTGAACCTCACTGTAATGGCACTGCAGCCAATTTGTGAACACCTAGGCTGTCCAATGTAACCTACAAAATTCAACAAATCCCTCAGGAGTGCTCTTGGAGCACAAATAGAGATGGTCTCTATATGAAGACAGACAAATTTCCACCTTAGCTCTATGTCCCCTTGTCATAATAATTCTTTCTGTGGATGAGGCTTGCAGTTCCCATTACCTTTGAATGAAAGTCTATACTGTGGTATCATTCCTATTTTTATTTCTTTCTAGGTCAGAAGATTTGTATGTTGTCTCCAGGGGTGTCAGACAGCAATTATCCCCAAACGTTACAGTCAGTGCTTCACATTATCCTAAATACAGGAGAATTTATTTTCTAGTGGAACAGGAGAGAAAGTGAAAAGTTAAGCAGATTTCAGGTGTAATATTGCCAATATTGTTATGAACACTGCTGTGTTTCAGCAGAGATTATGACTCTGATCTCACTTAACATACATCTGCGTCCATCTACTGATCACACTCATTCTCAAAAACTAAAATAAGATCAGAAACAGGCTCTGCTGTTATTTATTCATTATTTGTTAAGTATAAAATGTAGTGAAAATGTTCTCATTTATAATTCCAAATACTATTACCAAGCTCTGGATCCAAATTTCATGTAGCTAAAAACAAAACAAGATAACCCCCTCAAATTTGGAAGTATTTTCAGTCAGTTTAATGAGTCTTGATAAATATTGTTTTATGTTGTTCTCTCTTCTAATACCTCTAAATATATTAAGATTCTTTTCTAGACAAAATTACTTTAACTGAACTTTTTGTAATTGTTGACACAATGGTACTTAATTCTGTTGACATTTATCTCTAAATACTGCAGCAAGATAATTTATTTTACTGTCATCAAATACCCTTTGAAAGAGATCATGACACCAGTAAGAAAATATCTGTTGATTGAAATGGGATCAGGTTTACCCTCTCTAACACCAGCATTTGTGCACCACAACACCGGTTCATAGGTAAAAATACGCGTAAAAATAAAATGAGTGTATGTTTACTTGAGAGGGGGACCAGGCTTTCTCCATCACTCCCCACCTCTCTGCCTGCCTTCCCTGGCCAGACTCAGCATCCTGTCTCTTATCCTCAGCCCAGCTAAGCTCCAGCTGCCTGGACTCAAGGATGGGACAGGTTCCCCCCCAGTCCAGAAAGCACAGGATGAGAGATCCTGACAGGGTGGGAAAGGAAAGAAATAGGCATATCT